GAATGGACCTCATTACATTAGCACAGCAAGAGCAACCAACCAACACCCAGACATTCATATCAACTGGAGAGAAAGAGACATCTATCTATGGACTGACTGGAGACAGAGCAGATATCAGAACTGACTGCTGTTATGAAACCTGTAAGCATTAGTTTGTTGTTTCAGCCAATGCAGAGAGACAGTGCAAGCTATCAGAGCAGGATGCAGTTGTGGACTATTTGGTTGGTCCTACATGCAGGTCGGGATAGAGAGGGTGGACATGATGGGGAAATGAAGCACAGATGAGTGAGGCTTGCAAGTTGGATACAAAGTACAGCATGAGGACACTCACACAATCAATATTGTTTTCAGTTTTTTGTAGCTAGGAGGTTGGGGAATGACAACACAGGTTGATCTAAATTACAAACACACATACACACACATCCCATTCACACGCCACAGCCCATGCAGGTTTAGCCCACTATGGTCTACTTTGGACTAGCATAGGAATCTATATTGCCTAGCCCAGCACAGTAAAGAGTTCCAAGTTCCCAGCTACACCCTTGTCATCTTCTGTAGTGGTTGATTGTTACATTGAGTCCAGTCCCTATATAAATTCAGGTCAGTTTACAGATTGGCCCTGATGAGCCCTGTATGGTCCAGTTAGTCTCAGTCTACTTTAACTGTGAATCAATGCTCTTCTTATGACAGATGAATGCGTTTGTTTAGAGTCTCAGCCCCTCGTACAGTAGCCCAGGTGAGTATGGCCTGGCTGATGCAGATCAGTGGCCCACCTTGCTGCTCAGGACGGCGTAGTTAATGAACTGCTCCGCCTCAGCCTCCAGCTCATCCTGCAGAGAGCCATCCACGCTCACTGACCGCTCCTGACACCCCTCATCACCTGAGCCCTTCCCCCTGCGCACCACCTTCCGCACAATCTACACCACACACACACACACACACACACACACAACAGGGGAGGGAGACAGAGGAGGATGAGAGGATGAGAGAGGGTGGTGGGAAAGAGAGGTTAAGAAAGACAGATTGGTAGACGAGAGAGAGACGGGGGAAGAAGGGAAAGATTGAATGAGGTTCACCCAGGTTTAACTCCTGTCACTCTATTGAGTTCTCTGTGTACCTCTCACTCACAGTAAAGGAACTGAATGTTCATTTTAAAACACTGTCCTGGCTATATGTATCCTTATCAACCCCATCCTTATTAAATCTACGACCCACAACCTTTCATACAGTAACTAAACATGACTGTGACACCTGTGAGTCAGGGATCATTTTCCCATGCCGTGATTACAGTCATGATATTGGAATAAATCAAGGCATGATGATGAATGTGATGGTTCTTGATTATCAATTTAATAATCATTTCTATGTGAGTGTAGTGAGTTGAACATGAATATTAACAGGGGAGAACTGGTAGATAGGCCACAGTGCAGGGCTGTAGAGTAGAGAGAGGCATGCTGGGATAGATGTCTGACCTTCTTGGTGACGATGTTTCCGTGCTCGTCTGTGAACTGCTCCTCACTCACTTGTTCCCCTGGGAGATCCTTGGCCTCATCACCCTACGGGACAGACAACATGTACTAAACATCACAAAACAATACTGTCATACTGCAATACACATGGCATACTGTACCACCACACACACCTGCTCATAGATTAATTAAGCAATAAGGCACAAGGAGGTGTGGTATATGGCCAACATACCACGGCTAAGGACTGTTCTTAAGCACGACACAACACGGAGTGCCTGGATACAGCCCTTAGCCGTAGTATATTGGCCATATACAGTGGCGAAAAAAAGTATTTAGTCAGCCACCAATTGTGCAAGTTCTCCCACTTAAAAAGATGAGAGAGGCCTGTAATTTTCATCATAGGTACATGTCAACTATGACAGACAAAATGAGAAAAAAAATCCAGAAAATCACATTGTAGGATTTTTAATGAATTTATTTGCAAATTATGGTGGAAAATAAGTATTTGGTCAATAACAAAAGTTTCTCAATACTTTGTTATATACCCTTTGTTGGCAATGACACTGGGATTTTTGCTCACCGTTCTTGTGATCATTTTGACCCCACGGGGTGAGATCTTGCGTGGAGCCCCAGATCGAGGGAGATTATCAGTGGTCTTGTATGTCTTCCATTTCCTAATAATTGCTCCCACAGTTGATTTCTTCAAACCAAGCTGCTTACCTATTGCAGATTCAGTCTTCCCAGCCTGGTGCAGGTCTACAATTTTGTTTCTGGTGTCCTTTGACAGCTCTTTGGTCTTGGCCATAGTGGAGTTTGGAGTGTGACTGTTTGAGGTTGTGGACAGGTGTCTTTTATACTGATAACAAGTTCAAACAGGTGCCATTAATACAGGTAACGAGTGGAGGACAGAGGAGCCTCTTAAAGAAGAAGTTACAGGTCTGTGAGAGCCAGAAATCTTGCTTGTTTGTAGGTGACCAAATACTTATTGTCACGCCCTGACTCTGAGGACTTGTATTTGTTGAGTCAGGGTGTGTATTTTCTGTGTTGTGTTTGCTATGTCGATGTTCTATGTTTAAGATCTAGAATGTGTAGATCTATGTTGGCCTGTGTGGTTCCCAATCAGAGGCAGCTGTTGCTCGTTGTCTCTGATTGGGGACCATACTTAGGCAGCCTTTTGGCACCTGTTAGTTGTGGGATCTTGTTCCGTGTAAGGTATGTTGTGTGTATGCTACCTTGGACGTCACGTTTCGTTTGTTGTTTTGTCGTGGTGTTTATTCGTTAAATAAACATGTATGCTTATCACGCTGCGCCTTGGTCCTTCTCGTTTGTAAACGATCGTGACACTTATTTTCCACCATAATTTGCAAATAAATTCATAAAAAAATCCTACAATGTGATTTTCTGGATTTTTTTTTCTCAATTTGTCTGTCATAGTTGACGTGTACCTATGATGAAAATTACAGGCCTCTCTCATCTTTTTAAGTGGGAGAACTTGCATAATTGGTGGCTGACTAAATACTTTTTTTCCCCACTGTACCACAAACCCCCGAAGTGCCTTATTGCTATTATAAACAGGTTACCAACATAATTAGAGCAGTAAAAATTAATATTTTGTCATACCCGTGATATACCACGGCTGTCAGCCAATCAGCATTCAGGGCTCGAACCACCCAGTTTATAATGGAAAATGAATCAACAGCACACACTTATACAGTAAGCAGTCTGACCAAACCCATATACTCAACATTAACATTACAAAGGGACCAGTCAATACTACCGGAAAGATTGGATCCAAATACTTGATTGGCCAACAACTTTTCTACAGACATTAATGTCACACATGAGTTGTATGTACCAAGTATGAATTGGGAAAACCAGGAGTCAGCAAGCAGAACGAAAAGGGTGCTGGAATCTAGAGCACTTTAAAATAGCCCCCCAGAGAGAGTCTCATCATTTAACCCCAACCCCCAAACCAGAGAGCAGCCTACAGAGAGAGAGTTGAGAGAAAGGGAGGGAGGAAAGAGAGAGAGAAAGGGAGGGAGGAAAGACAGAGAGAAAGGGAGGGAGGAAAGACAGAGATATATGGAGATAGTAAATTGTCTGGGGATCACTAATGGCACTGCTGTGGTGTTAGCACTAATACACTCACAGTTGATGAGGTTCATGATAATACAGCTATTACTCCTAATAACATGGGAGACGCCAGTACAGCTATTTATAAGATCAAAAGGTCCCGCAGTTAAACCAGTGAACACAGCTAGCTACATGGCTGTAGGAAAAGCCTGCCCTATCCCCCACAATCCATAGAGGATGGAGTTTTTAGAGTTATTAAAGGTGTTGAGACCAGAAGAGGGCTGGAGGGAGGGGGGAGAATAGGACCATAAGGATGGTAGAGGACTATAGACCTTATTACAGTGAGTTTAGAGACTGAGCTCATAGGTTTAAACACCACACAGGTTGAGCCATTCACAGCTCAACAGCACGTATAAGGCCTGTACAGTATATCTACAGCCTAAATGGGTCTCAACTGTAGGGCTATGGTTTGTTTGAACATCTTTAGTTTTGCCCTTACCTCCCTCTGTTACTATTCTATCTCACATGGCCAAATACTGTATGAACAATATGATCCAGAGAGTTGTTTGAAAATACTTTAAAACTAAAGTTGTTGTTGCAAAGTAGTTCTATCATGTATCCTGTATATTCATAATCTAAGGACAAGTAAGCATACTGTATGTATGAGTTTAAATTCTACAATATAAATTAACGACTGTTTTATTAACATAATCTTTCCTTACTGATCCCATTACGGATAAATTGCATTGTCAGAAGTTAATGCGGTAAACAAGCAGAAAGAGGTATCTCTCCACCCTCTCCACTCGCCTCAACCCTGACGAACATTTCCCCCTGTCACAGCCAGACATTAAATCACCTCTGAGCTTTACAAACACACACACACACGCACATGCGCACGCGCACACGCACACACACACACTACAACCATTTGCTTTCCACCACACTGTTACACTCCCCTTCATTATTTTGTTCCATTGCCAGTCAATTGTCTCTCTCATCCTCCTCCCCCTCCCCTCTCTGTTGGGTACCTTGAGGATGACCCTGCGGCGGACCACGTGGGTGGTGACGTTCTCCTCCTCGTCGGCCATGCCCTCGGCCTCGCCCAGCTCGCGGTCCAGCGCAGCGTGCACATAGGTGAGCACAGAGCGCAGGGAGCCGCTGGCTATATGCATCACATTCTGACCGCTGATCACCAGGAAGGCCAGCAGCACAAAGCTGAAGAGCAGCTCAGTCACCAGGGCCCACATCACTCACAGCCCCTCCAAGCTTCTACCTCTGCAAACTCTCAAAGCAACCCAGCAACCCAGTGGAGCGCTCTACACACCCACTCTCACACACCCACCCACACGCCTACCCACGCACACACTAACACACACACTAACACACACACGTCTGTGCAGACTCTCGCCAACTATCCACGACACTTCTCTCCGTTAGTCTGGGGCAACAGCTGCACCCTCAGGCCTTCTCTCCTCTCAACAGGGCTGGCGTCTTGTCCTTCTTTCTCTCCCTCCGTTTGTGTCCCTTCTTCAGCAAGCTCTACTCCACCAGACCCTGTTCCTTCTTTCTCTGGCTCCGTCTCCCTCTCTCTCTCCGTCTGTCAGCTGGTCAGTAGGAATGGCTGACCCATGCCATCAGATCCAGGTGGCTGCAACTTTGGGAGGCTTAAATTTCCTCTCCCTCTCTCTCTCTCTTTCGTTCGCTCGCTCTCTCCCTTCTGCACTTCCAAAAACAACCCCCTGCTCCCTCTCTATCTTCCAGCCATGTGATCTGCACTCTTTAAATACCTCTGGCTGCTCCAGAGAGGTGCTCTGCTCTGTAAGGCTGAGAGGCTGAGAGTGAGAATAACAGACTTGCACCCTGACCAACAGAACTCCCTTAGGTACTCATACTATACTCCCTCAGGTACTCATACTATACTCCCTCAGGTACTCATACTGTACTCCCTCTGGTACACACAACCATACTTTCACACTTACATTATTATTCCAATGGCATGTAGGTGTATGTTCCACCACCACACATAATTATTCTGTAATGGTTTGGGATCTATTTTACTTACCCAGTACAGTAAGATGCAGATAGTCTGCAGCAAGACCATTTCCTGCCACTTATTCTGTATGGGCAACATTGTAGTCTGTTCTTACTGTACCAACACACTGGCAGTCCCAATATAACCTGGGAGTCCCAATATAACTTCCTACCAGGGATAGCCCACAGAGACTGAAATAGCCCCTTTTGCCCTCTCACTGCGTAGCAAAGTTGAGCTGTCCTTTAGAGTGCTCTGGTGCAGTGCCAGAATGCTAGATGACACGTGTGATGGGCTGGGATTGGGGATCCGGTGACAGGGGCTGCTATATTTGGCTTGACAGGCAGTTTGTGCCCTTCTTGGGCCTTCTGTTTGTATGTGTGTGGGCATGAGAGGAGAGAGGGATTACAGTATATATAATCTAATTCAGTTATAGCCTTCTGTCACTGGGTTTGGACTGTAATCATACAAGTCCTACTGTACAGAATTTACATTTTAGGAGACACTCTTATCCAAAGCGACTTACAGGAGCACATCTACAGATTTTTCACCTAGTCGGCTTGGGGATTTGAACCAGTGAACTTTCGGTTGTTGGCCCAACGCTCTTAACCGCTAGGCTACCTGCCACCCCAATAATAAGATGGGTTTCCCACTCACCTGCCGCCTCAGGCATACGTCGTCCCAGGTCTGCAGCTCTGGCACCCTGTGAGGGAACCCCAGGCCCTTCTCAAACGGCTGGGTGCCCCTGAAATGCCCACGCAGGAGCTCAGAGTGCCCCATGTCCCGCACTGGCTGAAGCAAGGCCTCCTGGGACACGCGGGACTGACTGGGGTCCACGTCCATGGCAGCGCGCACTGATGACATCATTGAGTCCATGGCCTGCCTGGGTTTGGCTGTCTGTGAGCCCAACCAGGCCTGAGTGTGGTCCGTGACAGGTTGCCAACCTGGACCTGACTGCTCCTGCAGGTAGGACAGGAAAGAGCCTCCACCACCTCCACCACTGCCTCTACTACCACTGCTGCCACCACTGGACCTAAGGAGGCAGAGGATGAGTGAGAATAGGAGAAAGGAGGAGAGAGATGAAGAGAGGTGGAGAGAGAGGACAAGTGAGAGGAGAAGTGACAAAGGAGTGAAAGGAGGAGAGAGAGGCCAATGTGTGTCAAATGTGTGTCAAACAAAAGCTGACTAATAGTCCTTCATAGACATTCTGTTACTAAAAGTAAATATTGTATTATTAGGTTAGGAAACACGGCAACATTGAAGTGTCCTAAGGCTCAGTTGTCTCAGAGGTGAGTGTCTGGACTACCCCCTGTCTGGCCAGTGCTGTGTCCAGCTGAGCTGCAGACTGACTGAGGTCTGAGGACACTCACCTGTCTCCATTACGATCTGCCACGCGGCTCAGACTGGGTGACTTGCTCAGCCGGGTGTACACTCGCTGCTGTTGTCCTGCAACAAGAGAAAGCCCTTCCTCTGAGCCTGTCCCTCCTCCTCCTCCTCCTTCAACTCCAGCTCCATCTCCACCCGCCATGTTGCCTCTGACCGCTGCTGCCTCTGACTTCACGACCTTTGACCCTTGACCCTTGTCCAGCCCATTAACGTTGTATAACGTGGCGGCGATGGTGCCTCCGAACGAAGAAGGGGTGGCAGGGGTGGCTGTGCTGAACGAGGCAGGGGTGGCAGGGGTGGCTGTGCTGAACGAGTCAACAGCCCCCATCTCTGAGTTGTCTTCCACCAGCTCCATGGAGCCACTCAGCCCCCCTCCGCTAGCCCCGCTGCCTGGCCGGCCCAGGCTCCCGTACGGCATCCCCAGCAGCCCCTCCGAGTCATCAGCATTGCTGCACTCCAGTGAGGAGTCCTCCACGGCCACTAGGGAGGGGATGTTGCCCGAGGGCCACACCTGCACATCGGACATCTCCATGAGTGTGTCCTCCTCTGTGATGGCCATGGGAGCACACTCCAGACTGGAGACTTCCTGCCAGTAGGGCTCATTGCCGAGCGGGGAGGGCAGGCTGTACTGCATGGAGGGAGGGGAGAGCAGCTCCTCCTGCATTAGCCCGTAACCTGGAGCGACACACAGAGAGGCACACTGACACAGGCCCCCCGCCTTGTTTCGCCTCGCCCCCCACCTTGCCCCACCAGTCCTGGGAGGGACCCCAGGGGGAGGGATGTGCCCCTGCCCAGAAGCAGGGCAGCCATGGGGAGGTGGCAGAGGGGGAGCCCAGGGGGAAAGGGGGGAGAGGAAGGGGCCAGACAGTGGGAGCTGAAGAAGAGGTGCAAGGAGCTAAGGGCGAGGGAGCAAGGGGGGCTCCGGGGGGGGGGGGGGGGGGGGGGGGGGGGGGGGTTGACAAGCCAGATCAGCCAGCACTGACAGTGAGAGCAGCAGCGGAGGCAGCAGCAGACACACAGCCAGAGCCAGAGACAAACAGAGAGAGGTCTGCTGGTGACTGGTGCTGCTCCGCTGTCTGCTACCTGCAGGTAGAGGGACAGGAGTTACTGCCTCTGCCCCGAACCAACCTGGGGCTGGGACACACACCTGTCCGCCTGGGACACACACTTACACACACATACATACACATGCCATACACATGTCGATAAACACACAGGCTTACCCACACACACACACACAACCTCTCCCATACACACACCCACAAAACCAGGCAAGTTAAATATTCTAGTCAGGCTGAACAGCATGCATGCAGGCAATCTCGTTATTCAACACACTCACACACACTCTCACCCATCCACAACAGACATTACATTACAAACCTTAGAAAACAAATAACACAACCACATACACATACACAATACACACACAAAGACACAGTCACACCACACATACAAACACATGTTTTATACAGTTTAATTTCTTATAGCTCACTGCAAGCATAGCTGCCCCAAAACTCATTTTTATATCAACAGAGAATCTAACTTTGAGAATTTGCTACGTATGACCCATGAACCTTTGACTCAAGTCACTCCAACAACACCTCTATTTGGAAAAAATACATTTCTTGCCTGGTAGCATGAAGAGCTTTGACTTTTAAACATGCAATGGTGTGGTACAGTAAGCATGGTAAGTTCTCTTTTGATATTGAAACTATCCACTAGGAAACTGTCTCTGGCTATTTGCATGGGGATCCTGCAGGTGTACATGCAACCATCATGTTGACTGGAAAGAGCATAGAACAGACCCAGATACAGCCAGCACAACAGACAGCATCTGAACAAGTGTACGGTGCCAAAGCTGCTTTCTGAGTCTGCTCTCTTCCACACCAACTCACATTTCAGTATCAGTGAACTTAATAGCTACTGTATGAGAAATGACCTGAGAGAGATAGCCAAGTAAATAAAATGTCAAATTCAAGGTCAAGAAGAGCAAAGCAACCTTTTGACTAGTTGAACCTCCTATGATCTCTTTTGTTAAACAACCATCAGGTGTAAATAGAAACAGGGTGACTGCAATTGAGGAAAAGTTGTCCTTTTGTTCAGTGGAACTAACTGGGGATGGCTATAGATACCATAAAAAAACAAAATATATATAAATAAAAACTATTGTGCAACAGTAGCTACTGTACTTCTCTGCTAATACATTACGAAGAATGTATACTAATGAATAGATATGATCATGAGTAACATAAAGATACAATATTTTGAATCAGACAAATAAACCCAGTGAAGAATGGATATGTAGGCTATAAAATGGTAGAAATATAATTGATTATATATTGGCATGAACCGAGAGAAGAGATTAGATTTAGCAAGAGGTAGAAAAGACAGGAGGGATGAGGAGGGAGTGGAGGACGGAGGGAGTGGAGGACGGAGGGGTGAAGTGTATATTTTTGTATACGTACGTGTGTTTCTGTGCGTTTCTGTGTGTTTCTGTGTGTTTCTGTGTGTTTCTGTGACTGCGTATGCGTGTATGTGTGCGAGCGAGCGAAAGAACACTATGTGTGTGTGTGTATACACGAGAGAGAGAAATGCAACATTAGTCATTGTTGGCACTGTTATGCTAAATGTGCAGTGGGTATTAGTGACACCAGCTGGCCTCCTCATCTCTCTCAGCCTTAAAAGACAGCATAACCTCTCTGACATCCCACTCAGAAGGCCAGAGGACTGTGTGTATGTGGGTCAAAAGTTAAACACATTTACATTAGGGCGGCAGCTAGCCTAGCAGTTAAGAGCTTTGGGCCAGTAACCGAAAGGTCGCTGGTTCGAATCCCCAAGACGACTAGGTGAAAAATCTGTTGATGTGCCCTTGAGCAAGGCACTTAACCCTAGTTGCTTTGGATAAGAGCGTCTGCTAAATGACTAAAATATTAGTGGTGCACAATAACAGGCATCCTTCACTTAACAAGCACCCTTCAATATGCATCATTCACATAACAAGTACCCTTCACTATGCATCCTTCACTTAACAAGTACCCTTCAAAATGCATCATTTACATAACAAGTATCCTTCACATAACAAGTATCCTTCAATATGCATCCTTCAATATGCATCCTTCATAACAAGCATCCTTCAATATGCATCCTTCACTTAACAAGCATCCTTCAATATGCATAACCCATGTAGATAAAATCCTCTTAACACAAGGTTTAAGACTTCCAGCTGATAAGCTTTCCTCAAATGTGTATACATTACTCTTTAGCCAGTAGGGTGAGGATGATTCATGTCACATAAATATCATGGTATTTGTTTGGAATACCACCTTTTAAGGTTTTGTATGAATAACCTGAACACTTATGGTAGCTGAAAATAGTGTCTCTTGGTGATCATTATGTTTCTACTGTACATGGTTTTAGATTGTCTGTTTGTGTCTGACAATCTAAAAGACAATCTGAAAGACCATCTAAAATCTGTGTGATTCTGCCATCCAGTCTTGTTGCCAGTCCTTCTCTCTCTCTATGTGTGTGTGTCTGTGGGTGGTGTCACTCCCATGGTTAGTTGGATGGTGAGGTGGGGCGGTGACAGACAGAGGGAGGAGGGGATGAGGGAGGGTGTTCGTGGGGAATGAACATGGTGGTCTGACCCTCCTGGTAAAAAGACACACTGTAAACATGAACAAACTGGCTGAAGCTCACATACACAGAGAGAGAGACACAATCACACACTGACTGGAAAAAGGCACACACAGTGAAATACTCACATGAAGACACTGAAGACACTCATAAAAGACAACAATATAAAACACAGACATGTATACACACAAATACACACACACACACACACACACACACATACACACGCAGAAAACACACACACACACACATACACACTCACACACCAACACATATGGAACAGAGAGACTGAATGGAACGGTCACATGAACACACTCCCTGCAAATATGAGGTGTGTGACAGAGAAAGGGCATAGATACTACATCCCCTAATTCTGGAGTGACTCAAAGACACAGGACAAACACACACATACACACAAACAACTGATCAACAACATGTCACAACATTCATACATGAACAGAGCAGTCAAAATACACAGTTAAAAAGGGTTCAGGACCTTTTTACCCCCCACAGAGAATAATATACTGTAGAGGATCTAAACAGGCAGACTAAACAGTCAGGTCATTCCCCAGCATGCATGCCATGCAATATCAGTCTGATAGTAAAGCAGCTACAAGGTGCAGAGGCATAAACAGCTCCCAGACTACATCTCCCATAGGCCCTGTAGCTCAGTTGGTAGAGCATGGCGTTTGCAACGCCAGGGTTGTGGGTTCGATTCCCACGGGGGGCCAGTATGAAAATGTATGCACTCACTAACTGTAAGTCGCTCTGGATAAGAGCGTCTGCTAAATGACTAAAAATGTTTAAGAAATAGGCCACTCATTCCAATACATCCATGCAAGCATTTAGGAGCTGGAGGACGAGAGTGGGCCTCATGCACATGCAGACAGGCAGGAGGGCAGGGAGGGAAACACAGAGAGGGAAGATAGGGGGGAAGAGGACAGAAAGAGAGAGAGGAAGAAAGACATGCGCAGAGCAAAAGAGAGATCGACAGAGACGGGGAGAGGACGAAAAAAGAGAGAGAGATGACAGAGAGAGAGTGATGGAACAAGGGACACCTCCCCACTCCCGGGGGTGTGTGAGGGGGATTGGTCACGGAGCAGACGGTTAAAAAGGTGGAATTTTCAAGAGTACTAAAATAAAGAGTTATAAAAAAATAGGCACAACTGGTCATCAAAATAAAGATAAGGGCCAGAGGTCAACATGAGGTCGGAGGGCATGAGTTCAGAGGTCGGAGAGGAGGAGTGAGAAGGAGGAAGAGTAGGGCGGCCAGGCTGCAGATGTCCAGAGAAACACAAAGAGAGAGGTGACAGATAGTCAAAAGGAACAAGTTCCGGGGTTCCCAGAGGGACACACAGTGCACCGAATGGAATGACCCCTGGTCTGAAGAGACTCCTACGGCCCCATGCACACACAGGCAGAGAGTGTAACATTTCCCTTATATAAGCCTAGCTGGATTCAGTTCAGGCCTCCGAGCCTCTCTGGTATTACTAAACTGAACTCATTGTTTTTACTGAGTTGCAAATCAAACCACTCAAACCACTAGAGTTAAGAAAGAGAGTTGCATGTCAAAATCACTAAGGGCCCAATGTGATGAAAATAAGGAAAAGACAGGAACAGATCGACTGAAAGGTAAAGTAAAAAGAATGGAGATTTCCATAATTTCTACTCTAAATGGTAAAAGAAAAAAACTTTTGTTTCCTATAGACACTCTTCCTGACAGTATTGCATGCATCCTGCCTGGGTTAAAAATAGAATGTGCAATCTAATTGCGGTCTCCAGGCTTGGATTCCCACTTCAGAATCTATTGTAATTTGAAATAATTTGATTGTGAAGGTTAATTAGGGGACCAAGGGAGTAATCATCTTCCAGACTGACATTTAGTCAGAGAGCGAATCCTCATTCTGTACCATCCCCTGATGTCATATACGGCCCTACCTACATTCTATATCCTCTGAAAAGTCAGGAACAAACTTGTTCAAAATATCAGTCATACTATCATTCATAACTCCAATAGATAAATCATAGACCTCTTGAAAATCATTGCTGTAATAAACATAAACACACACAATACCATGTCTAGAGGTCAGGTTGGTATTGTCCTGTGAGAGTGTAACCACCTTGTTACACAGACAGCGTCAGAGGAAAGAGCTTTGGGATGCAGACTGGACAGGTGTCAGATATCAGATTCACTGCAGCTGTGATCTGACTGAGCATCTCCCGTTTGTCCCTTTGTCCGTCATGGTCATATCTATGCATGAGTTACATCACCAGTTATTGCTCCAGTTTGCACTGAGGGGACCTGGCACTTGCTGTCATGACACATGAGACAGTGGGGCACAGAGCAGACCCAGAAGAGAGGTCAGAGCACTCCAGTGATGGTCAGTCCAGTGCAGGGTTTTTTACACCAGTCAAGTGGTGAAACTGGAGTCAATCTGATGTATATCATGCATGTGTAAAATAATAAACCATGAGTAAAAATAGTCAAAGTTTGAGAAGTGACCACTGGAAGCAAAGCCAACTGCAGTATGCTTGAAGGAAAGACTACAGACTGAATTCATGTATGGAAATGATTGTTTTTTACAGACACACAGAAGAGAGGTCATAGCACTCCAGTGATGGTCAGTCCAGTGCAGGTTATCCTGCACTGTATCTCACATATGGCCTATGTAGGCAGATTGTGATTTAAATCATGTTGGATGAAGATGATCATAATGAACTCATAACCAAAATCCTACTTTAAAGGAAGTAAAACATAAACCTGTCAAATACACAGATACGACACAGTAGTAACTTAGACACTGAATACAGATCTAACAAAATATACATTTGGCATGAACAGAATCTCACCCAACACACCATACACAGCTGACTAACACAGCATTTCATTTCTTTTTAAATCATCAGCTCTCCTATTGCTAACGACTTCATCAAACACACATGAAAACAGATGTTTCTTGAGGTTCCAATTGATCTTTAAATACACTATATATACAAAAGTATGTGGACACCCTTTCAAATTAGTGGCTTCGGCTATTTCAGCCACACCCGTTGCTGACAGGAGTATAAAATCGAGCACACAGCAATGCAATCTCCATAGACAAACATTGGCAGTAGAATGGCCTTAGTGAAGAGCTCAGTGACTTTCAACGTGGCACCGTGAAACGATGCCACTATTCCAACAAGTCAGTTCGTAAAATTTCTGCCCTGCTAGAGCTGCCCTGGTCAACTGTAAGTGCTGTTATTGTGAAGTGGAAACATCTAGGAGCAACAACGGCTCAGCCGCGAAGTGGTAGGCCACACAAGCTCACAGAACGGGACCGCTGAGTGCTGAAGTGCGTAGCGCGTAAAAGGCGTCTGTCCTCGGTTGCAACACTCACTACCGAGTTCCAAACTTCCTCTGGAAACAACGTCAGCACAAGAACTGTGCGTCGGGAGCTTCATGAAATGGGTTTCCATGGCCGAGCAGCTGCACACAAGCCTAAGATCACCATGCACAATGCCAAGCGTCGGCTGGAGTGGTGTAAAGCTTGTCGCCATTGGACTCTGGAGCAGTGAAAACGCGTTCTCTGGAGTGATGAATCACGCTTCACCATCTGGCATTCCAACGGACAAATCTGGGTTTGGTGGATGCCAGGAGAACGCTACCTGCCCGAATGCATAGTGCCAACTGTAAAGTTTGGTGGAGGAGGAATAATGGCTATTTTTCATGGTTCGGGCTAGGCCCCTTAGTTCCAGTGAAGGGAAATCTTAACGCTACAGCATACAATGACATTCTAGACGATTCTGTGCTTCCAACTTTGTGGCAACAGTTTGGGAAAGGCCCTTTCCTGTTTCAGCATGACAATGCCCCCGTGCACAAAGCGAGGTCCATACAGAAATAGTTTGTTGAGATCAGTGTGGAAGAACTTGACTGGCCTGCACAGAGCCCTTACCTCAACTCCATCGAACACCTTTGGGATGAATTGGAACTACGACTGCGAGCCAGGCCTAATTGTCCAACATCAGTGCCCGACCTCACTAATGCTCTTGTGGCTGAATGGAAGCAAGTCGCCGCTGTAATGTTCCAACATCTAGTGGAAAGCCTTCCCAGAAGAGTGGAGGCTGTTATAGCAGCAAAGGGGGGATAGAACTCCATATTAATGCCCATGATTTTGGAATGAGATGTTTGACGAGCAGCTGTCCACATACTTTTGGCCATGTAGTGTATGTCAAATAATTATCTCTATTTCAATCTATACTCTTTTTGGAAGGCTCTGTTCATATTGCTTAAATCCATATACCAGTAGTTGCATAGTTTCTCCCACCAGCTAAATGTTTCATGGGCCATTTCAGTGGAGAGAGAATCCTAAAATCTAGCTGGCACTATTAGACAAGGTTGTAATGCTGATTGAAGGCACTATAGGTCATTGATTCATAGTATTCAACCACAAACAAGGGAATGTATCTGAGTCAGGCTTTAGAGTGGCACCACAGAGGCAGTTGTTGTCGGAGTGTCTTGAGTCCTGGTCCAGGTTGCTGCGTTACACATCTGTAGAAATCTTAAGTTTATGGCAGTAGCATATAGAACAGCCCTTGACTGAGGATTGGGGCAAGAGGGTGATGGGGGCAGCAGAGAGGAGGAGGAGGAGGAGGAGGAGGAAGAGATAGAGATAGAGATAGAGAGAGAGAGAGAGAGAGAGAGAGAGAGAGAGAGAGAGAGAGAGAGAGAGAGAGAGAGAGAGAGAGAGAGAGAGAGAGAGAGAGAGAAGAACTGGTAGGCTATGGGAGTTGGGGGTGGTAGAGGAATGCGTGGGGATGGGGAGAAGCCTTACCATTGCTCAGGCTGGGGGAGAGGTGGTCACTCTCGTTGTGTCTGCGTCTGCTTGGCTCCCGGGCCTGCCTCCCTGCAGGCTGTGGCCCCTGGCCCTCCAGCATGTTCACTATGTCCATCCGGTCAATGCTTTTCAGAGCTGTGTACAAACGCTCCACTGTACATAGGAGCCACAAGAGAGAAAGAGAGACAGAGAAAGGGGGAGGATAGAGGGATAGAGAGAGAGAAGACGGAGACGAGAGGCAGGACAATGGGAAATGGACCGTTTAATAACAGACAAGGAAGTGGAAGATATTATGAGGAGAATAATGACATTGTTTACCAGTACCCTGACAGACCCAGGTCTGTCCCAGAAAACAACAGAGTTAACACAATGTTAATATAAGGTACTGCATAGAGTGGACAAGTCTCACGTGCAAATCCAAGAGCCAGTGCAAGACAGTACGGTGGGTGAGTGGAGATGATTAATATAGGATAAGAGGATGCACAGGAAAGATCCACTGACCGTTATGGGATCTCAGGTACTTACTCTTGGCTCTCTTGCCCTCGCAGGTGGCCCATAGGCTGAGCAGGGCAGAACTCTGCTCCAATAGGGAGTTAGGATTCTCCACACGGATCTTATTAATGTCATCTACACTGAACTGTAGCTCCCTCGCCAGCTCTGGAGAGACAAAGGTGGAGAGACAGAGGCAGGGAGGAAGGGAAAAGCAGCCGCAAGCCATTAAAACTGATACACAGACTCAGACGCCGACACAAGCACCAAACACAGGCACGAGACACAGACATTCATTCCACTCACTCACCAGCCCAGCTCAGTCCCAACTGTTCAGCTATTAAAGCCATCTTCAACTCTGTCTTTTCCATGGCACTCATTGATGCTGCAGAAACCAGACCACAACTGATACTTTAACATGGGAAGTTAATGTACAGTTGTGATAATTACTGCATGAAGGGGCACATGGAATGTGAACGTGTTGGTGTGGGGTATGTCATTGTCTTATGTCGGGTAGCTCGACTAACTCGTCTGCACTGATTGAGGGACGAGCGTTGTGTAGGAATGTCGCCACCTGTCGGAAGACAATGGCGGTTTGTATGGGGTATTTTCGGGATGGGATGGCAGGCACCTTTACCCATGGCAGGCTCATTCAGGGTGCTGTATCTCTCTCGCAGGGCTAATGGGGTCAGAGTTCGCCTCCGGTCTTCACTCCCAGCAGCCTGCCAAGCAAACATAAGCAAAAGCCTCTGGAATATATAATTTGCCTCAGATCTCACAAGTTCACAAAATTAAATATGCATGTGTGTATTATAAAATGAAAGTGCAGTGCTTTTCAAAGCATCCCAAAAACGTAAACTATTTTTTTAGGCCTACCTTGAGACACAGGGGCATGGTAATATTGAGGTTGCACAGCACATGTTGGCTGTCTTCGTACTTGGTAGACTTGCGCATGAAGGACAGGAATCCGGAGTGATCTTTACTACTGTCTCTCACCTTGGAGAAGAGAACCAAGAGAAACAGACAAGAGACATTTTCAGTGTGAGAGGGAGACCCAGAGATGGAGGGAGTAATGGAGATAGGAAGGAAGACAGAGAGAGGGAGAATTAAACACCTTGACAGAGACGGGGAGTCTGTTGTCTCTGAAGGCCTGGAAGCTGAAACAGCGAGGCTGCTGGGTAGCCTTCCTCACTGGGACCAGGTTCCCAGAACACTCCAGGTGCAGTGGCATTCCTTCCATCACCTGAGGGGGAGGATACTAACGTTAGACACAGTGGCCGTGTCCGAATACCCATACTAGTGTACTACATACTTAAACTGTATACAATGCACTCATTGTCGCATACTATTTTGCACGTACCGTTTAGTAAAAAGTATGCAGTTTGCCACGGCTGCAACGCAGTAGAAGCTCCTGACTGGCTGAGTAGGTGGGGTGGGGCTGAGTGCGGGTGGATTTTTCCAAATTCAATAGACATGCATCGCATTAACCAGCCTGATAATAGCTCATTTCCAATTCGACTAACTTCTCTAAATAGAATAGAATAGGAATGGAGTTATAGGCCTACTCAGGCTGGTTATAGGCAGACTATCACATTCCACCTATACCGTTGTAGACCATATCGCCCATCTATCCTATTTAAAAAGGACTGAAGACAGAAACAGATAATTTGGTTCCATTTCAACATATGTATTATTAGTGAAACCAAAGTGCTGTAACATATACAAATTCAATCAAATAGCCTTGCACACATTCAAACACTTTTCAGAAGTTCAAATCAAAAGGCTATTGCACAGAAAAACGTGGACAGTCGGGTGCATCGCAAATTCAGAACCGCTGGACAGCAACATAATGAACTAAACGAGATCAGAATGACTGCTAAGGCTTGATCCATATATTAAATAGGTAGCCTAGACAACAAAACTAAAATACTCCATATGTACAAATCAAAAGGCCTGATTAACATGACATCAATAACGCAACCACATCTCGAGTCCATGGTACCGACACATTCAGAAATCAAAAGATGGTTTAGTATTTAGTTTAAAGTCGATACACCTATAATTTCTCAGAATGTCTCCCCTTTGTGGAAGCTAGGTGAATTGCAACAGCACTAGGCTGCATTCAAAACAAATCTCCCCCTCCCCCGCAAGCCATTTCCCCGTAAGATGGCGGAGACTCGGGCTTGAGCTTTTTATTTTCGGTTTTGGTCCACCAGCTTCAAACAGCTGTTAAAACGATATTTGTTGTTATTGAAAATATATTTCACAGTGATTTAAATGGTACAATGATTTCCTACACTATTCAGTGCTTGTTTTCTCACATAAACCGAAATTGAGCGAACAGTGTCCAATTTTAGCAACCAGGAAATTACAGCGATTGGCCCGATTTCTTCTAGATAACACAGCCACAAAGTCAAAACAGGTTTCCCATTTTGACAATAGGCGAATAGTGTAAAACTTATTCTTTCCACTATTACTGCAGATATATTATGGACATTTTCTGAATTTTCAATGCAAAAGCATTTATATATATATATATATATATATATATATATATATATATATATATATATATATATATATATATATATATATATATATATATATATATATATCCTATGTGTAGCACCTTTAAAAGCTCTGATAAAGGCCAAGAGAACAATAAACAATTTTTTATGAGAAAGCAGAAAACTTTGGGAATGTAAACATAAATCAATCTGTTTTCAAAGATTTAGCCAACGATGCAATACTTGTTATCATTAAAAGGAGAGCAAAAACGACTTAGCCTACATTTGAACACCACTGCAGAAGCTTTGGTATTTGGCATCTTCCCAATTAAGTAGCCTAGTTTTGTTGTTTGGCTACTTGAAGAGAACTAGGGCCTATCACTTGCAGCCCACCTCTTCCAATGCATTGTGGAAAAGAGTGCATCTGATTCTACTAGATGAAGAGACAAAATGAGTATAACATCCTGCCACTTAAAGTATACTGTATTTTTGAAATGTCGCATAATATTAAACATTATTCTTTTGCATACTCAAACAGCCTACTATTTAGGACGCAAGTATAGGTATTCGGACACAGCCGGTGGCTCCCTCCATATGAGGAACTATAAAGGGGGCAGCCTGATCCACCCTCTCCAGTCACTTCACAGTGCCTCTTCAGATGAAGCTTCTAAACAATGACATCATCATGATAACCATCGATATAACCCCCTGCACTGACCTCGATATCGCGACTGCGGGCCACCTCGCTGAAGTTCTCGTGCTGCTCCAGGGTTTTGTCCATCTTGTCATCAGTCATGCAGTAGCAGCGCAGGCGGCCCTCACGGATCTCGTTCATCTTGGCAAACACCACAAACTTGGCCATGTAGGGCACGGCTGAGAGCTCCCGGTACAGGAGGTTGGCGAAAGACACGGCCTCGGCTGTCCGGGGACAGTCAGCCAGCCAGAACCTGAGAAGAGACACCAGTGTGTAGGATATATGGTAACCCTTAAGTTACTCATGACTAGATCCTGCTGATTTTGTACGTTTGCCCACTGACAAAGAAATGATCAGTCTATAATTTTAATGGTAGGTTTATTTGAACAGTAAGAGACAGAATAACAACAAAAAAATCCAGAAAAACGCATGTCAAAAATGTTATAAATTGATTAGCATTTTAATGAGGGAAATAAGTATTTGACCCCCTCTCAATCAGAAAGATTTCTGGCTCCCAGGTGTCTTTTATACAGGTAACGAGCTGAGATTAGGAGCACACTCTTAAAGGGAGTACTCCTAATCTCTGCTTGTTACCTGTATAAAAGACACCTGTCCACAGAAGCAATCAATCAATCAGATTCCAAACTCTCCACCATGGCCAAGACCAAAGAGCTCTCCAAGGATGTCAGGGACAAGATTGTAGACCTACACAAGGCTGGAATGGGCTACAAGACCATCGCCAAGCAGCTTGGTGAGAAGGTGACAACAGTTGGTGCGATTATTCGCAAATGGAAGAAACACAAAATAACTGTCAATCTCCCTCGGCCTGGGGCTCCATGCCAGTTCTCAACTCGTGGAGTTGCAATGATCATGAGAACGGTGAGGAATCAGCCCAGAACTACACGGGAGGATCTTGTCAATGATCTCAAGGCAGCTGGGACCATAGTCACCAAGAAAACAATTGGTAACACACTACGCTGTGAAGGACTGAAATCCTGCAGCGCCCGCAAGGTCCCCCTGCTCAAGAAAGCACATATACAGGGCCGTCTGAAGTTTGCCAATGAACATCTGAATGATTCAGAGGAGAACTGGGTGAAAGTGTTGTGGTCAGATGAGACCAAAATCGAGCTCTTTGGCATCAACTCAACTCGCCGTGTTTGGAGGAGGAGGAATGCTGCCTATGACCCCAAGAACACCATCCCCACCGTCAAACATGGAGGTGGAAACATTATGCTTTGGAGGTGTTTTTCTGCTAAGGGGACAGGACAACTTCACCGCATCAAAGGGACGATGGACGGGGCCATGTACCGTCAAATCTTGGGTGAGAACCTCCTTCCCTCAGCCAGGGCATTGAAAATGGGTCGTGGATGGGTATTCCAGCATGACAATGACCCAAAACACACGGCCAAGGCAACAAAGGAGTGGCTCAAGAAGAAGCACATTAAGGTCCTGGAGTGGCCTAGCCAGTCTCCAGACCTTAATCCCATAGATAATCTATGGAGGGAGCTGAAGGTTCGAGTTACCAAACGTCAGCCTCGAAACCTTAATGACTTGGAGAAGATCTGCAAAGAGGAGTGGGACAAAATCCCTCCTGAGATGTGTACAAACCTGGTGGCCAACTACAAGAAATGTCTGACCTCTGTGATTGCCAACAAGGGTTTTGCCACCAAGTACTAAGTCATGTTTTGCAGAGGGGTCAAATACTTATTTCCCTCATTAAAACGGAAATCAATTTATAACATTTTTGACATGCGTTTTTCTGGATTTTTTTGTTGTTATTCTGTCTCTCACTGTTCAAATAAACCTACCATTAAAATTATAGACTGATCATGTCTTTGTCAGTGGGCAAACGTACAAAATCAGCAGGGGATCAAATACTTTTTTCCCTCACTGTATGCAGGTGATCAGCATACCTAAAACGCCCAGTGCAGTCAAAAACATGATTTTCCAGTTTTAGATACACTCATCGGCCAGTTTATTAGGTACAGCACTCTGTTCACAAAAATGGGTCGCTCCTATAGTCAGTGAGTCACGTGGCCGTGGCTTGCTATATAAAGCAGGCAGACAGGCATTAAGGCATTCAGTTACTGTTCGATTGAACGTTAGAATGGGCAAAACATGTGACCTAAGCAACTTTGAGCGTGGTATGATCGTCGATGCCAGGCGCACCAGATCCAGTATCTCAGAAATGACTGCTCTCTTGGGGTTTACATGCTCGACAGTGTCTAGGGTTTACCGAGAATGGTGCGACAAACAAAAAAACATCCAGTCAGCGGCAGTCCTGTGGGCGAAAACAGCTAGTTGATGAGAGAGGTCAAAGGAGAATGGTAAGAATCGTGCAAGCTAACACGCGGGCCACAAACAGACAAATAACGGCGCAGTACAACAGTGGTGTGCAGAACGGCATCTCGAAACTCACAACTCGTCGATCCTTGTCACGGATGGGCTATTGCAACAGACGACCACACCGGGTTCCAATCCTATCAGCTAAAAATAAGAAGAAGCGGCTCCAGTGGGCACGCGATCACCAACACTGGACAATTGAGGAGTGGAAAAACATTGCCTGGAACATGACAGCGAGTTCAGTTTACTTGAGTGGCCTGAGCAGACCCCAGACCTCAACCCAATAGAGCATCTTTGGGATGAGATGGAAAGAGCTGTTCGCAGCATGAGTGTACCACTATCTAATCTGCAGCAACTGCCTGATGCCATCATGTCAGCATGGACCAACATCTCTGTGGAAGGTTTCAGACACCTTGTAGAATGCCCCGATGAATTCAGGCTGTTCTGGAGGCAAAGGGGGGTCTGACCCGGTACTAGATGGATGTACCTAATAAACTGGCATGTGAGTGTATATTTCCACACTATGAGGTTGGAATATTACTGTGAAATTGTGAAAATTATGAAAATGCCCTTTTAGTGTAAGAGCTGTTTGAAAAGGCCACCTGAAATTTCAGCCTGTTTTGGTGGGATGGAGTTTTGGGCTGCCTGGTGACATCACCAGGCGGTAAATTAGTTAATAGACCAATAAGAAAGAGAGTTCCAAACCTCTCTGCCAATAACAGCTAGTTTTCAGTTTCCCCCTCCCCACTTAGACCACTCCTAGACAGTCCTAGCTAAATTCTGGCTTGAGAAATTGCTCTTTGCTAAGAAGCTATTTTTGTATCTTTTTGATCATTTTAATTGAAAACAATCACAGTAAGGTACTTAATTGTTACCGAGAAAAAACGGCTGCATTGGACTGCTCTCAAAGTGACAGAAAGAGCTGGATTGTGAACTTGAATGTGAACTTGAATGTCTAATGAACATGAATGCTAATGAGTGAGTTGCTGCTGTATACTTACCGTGCTGACACATTGGTTGTGAAGTTGGCACAGTCTTTGCTATATATGAGCTTGGTGGTGCCTGTGATGTCCTCCCACTGGGCTGGGGCTGTTCCACCTGGGCAGAAGGAAGAGATATCAGTTACACCAAGATATAAGGAGGAGGAGAAAAAGGTATACTAAACATGCAAGGTGATTTTACTCCACCATATCACTCTGACACCCATTGTTATGGTGCAGAGAATCAACAGTTACTGTATATAGCAATGACATTGCTTATTCTCTGGCTTGCAGACCTACATCAATCTGGATTTTCCCATCTCATAGCTGAGAGACTTTGAATCACTGTGTTCAATCAATTTCCTTCTGTCTATGAGGTGTTCATGCGGTCCAACGCATAGTTTACTCTAAATAGTGATGCAGTTTCACTGTGCCATTAGTCCACTGTAAGGCCTCAGTCAGGTTCACTAAAGTGTGAAAGTGTTGGCATACCGATGACACTGCAGAGCAGGCGCAGGCTGGTGGTGTCCCCCTCCCCAGAGTCCCGGGGGCTCTCTCTCCAGGAGGGGGGTAGGGGGATAAACAGGCCGATGGGCCGGTGGAACTTGCGTCGCCGTGGCTCCACAGTCACCACAGGGCTGAAGGTTGCCTGGTTACCCAGCAGCTTGGCAACCAGCTCGTCTGGGACTGGTTGGGCCTGAGGTTGGAGGGGAAAGGATGTGTGGAGAGAGGGATGACGATGTGGTAGAGGAGTGTGGCAAAGAAAGAGAGGAAGGCAGAGAGCGAAAGAGGGAGAGAAATTGACACAAAGGTAGACAGACAGATAGCAATGTAGAGAGAAATAGTAAGAGAAAAGAAGAGAGAGTGAGAGATGATAGGATGTATGTAATGATGTAATGGATGACAATGGACAGATAAATAAATCAGATGGAAGAAATGAAGGATGAAGAGAAAGAGAGAGAAGTCTATGGTCAACAAAATACTATTTTAATCTACACCAAAACATACAAACAATTTGGAAAGACACATTGCGTAAATGTTTTCGTCAGTGTTGTTTATTGTAAAAATGTGGGGAAAAAAATTATTAACATTTAAAAATCTATATTCACAAAAAATCATAAACCTTTAGACATTAAAACAAACAGATTTGAAAGAAAAATACACTGTTTTACCCAAGGCCCTTTGTGACTAGTCTCAGTATAAAAAACATCTCACAATTCAAGTATTCATGTACAGATTCCTTCATTCACTTGCTTCAGTTGATGAATATGAAATGATAAAATAAATGATCTCCCTCGCTACACATTCAAGTTAACTGTCTCACTTTGTACAGCCTTTGAGAAGGTTAGCGTATCTGCTAGTGTAAAGCTATCACCGGGTTATGAGGCTATGAAACCAAATCCAAACCACTTTAGCATGCTGCTAAAGAACACTCAATTTCAACAAAGTCCCTCTGCATTATCTAACCATGACTATAGTTATAGAATGTAACCACAGTAGTGAATGATGCATTAAGCTTTAGGACACAGGCATGCTCATTTGCAAACATTAGTGACTCAAAGATGCCCTTTCAAAACAGCCTCATATAAACTTTGAAGGTTAAAAAGCCCATAGTCAAAGTGACTGTACTATGTGTATGTACATAGTACATCTCACTGTTTGTGCATAGCACACAGAAAAAAGACACCAATTTGCAAATGTTCAACCTCCATATTGAGAACAAAAACAGAAAACTCTTGGTAAAGCAAAAATTATATAAAAGGTGCTGATCAAATTCAAACCAAATACACATAGCATGCATATAGCATTCTTGGTCATACAGGCAGGCACTAACGATACTGTCTTCCTCCTTCTTCCTCCTCATCCTCCCATCTCACCTGCAGGCCCAGACGGACTCGCTTGGTGACCGCTGTCTCAGGGAACGTAGCCTGGACCATCGGCACCAGTTTACTGGTCAGCTGACCCCCCTCTGGGCCAATCAGGTCACTCTCCTGCTGGACGCGCGACACCACAGCAAAGTAGAGGGGGAAGTCAGTGGAGATGATTCGTCGGATACGCTTCTTCCCAAGCTCCTCCTGGCTCTCCAGATCTAAATGAATAAACAGGCAGACCTTAGCGGTCAATGAGAGTGGGGAATACTCTTACAGTACTGATAAGAAAGCAGTGATAAACACCAAACAGCCTGTTATTAGTGACTGTAATCAGATCTGACTCAGTTAGTAGAACTTCTCATTCTACTACCTTCATCCATCCCATTGAGGATAGTCTCCAGCACATCGTCGCCATAGCGATTGCGGTGTTCCTTCCAGACAGAGCCGTTCTCACTCCTCAGCACCACCAGCTCCCGGTCCCCTCGACCCAGAGCAGCAAAGTGAGGGATCTCCACGATCACAGGCCTGAAAGACACACAAAGACACAGAGACACACATCAATAAGCTCACAATATAATTAGTGGATACCCTCACCGAATGTGGAACACAATTTTACAATCTGATTTTTCTTCCTGATCTCAAACTGTAACCTATTATCTTTTGTTGACAACTCATGCACCTGTCCTCCCTTCAATACTCTACAGTGTAGGTTTATTTAAGTCCTCACCCTAGGAACTGCATGCTGGCTGGGCCCAGTGATATGATACGGCTGGCTAAGCCCTCTCCCTCCACCAGGGGGGGAGGAGTAGTGAGTTTCTGGGGCTTGACCAGACGACAGGTGATACGTGTGGGGGCGGCACAGGTCCGTGGAGGGATGATGACACGCAAGCCGTTATGTCTGCTGCCTCGCATCGAGCCGCCCCGAGCATCCACCATGAAACTCACAAGGAACCTGACAAGAGACAAGCGTCCCCACATCATTAGACAGCATACCAATGTTTCTATTTCCGCTCTTGGATAGGGTTGCAAAGGGAGGGTGTATTACTGGAAACTTTCTACATTTACCAGTAAACTACCAGAATTTTGGTAGATTTCAAGGATTTTATGTAATCTATCATAAGACATGTACTGGCCCTTTTGGGTACTTCAGATTATTACAGGTGTTTGTAATTATCTCTGGTCCTCTGTGTGGCCTTATCACATGTAAAATATATTAAATAATTAAACAAGATGATAAAAAAAAAGATATATATATACAATGACAAAGCTGTAAAACATTATCCTAAATATATACCATCAACTTAGTGAATACCATTTGTGTTTAATATGGGAGGTTTATTTATTACTATGTCAATATGTATTTGTTGTCAATGTTTTGATGTCAAACTGGTGGCAGTTGTGAAAAAAGTCAATTGTTTAACGAGTTGCAGAGGTTATAGAAAATATTTCCAGTGTTGATTAGATACAATATTGTTAGATTAATTTGGATTTTAAGAATAATGACTAAAGAATTACACCCCAAACACAGTATAAATGTTAGAATTATCATGTGTCAACCCACTAACAGAAGGGGCGTTACTAACCATTCAAGGGGGGAGGCGGGAACTGTTTAAGAAAGGTGGGAGGAGCATAGTGTTTTTGTTTGTCAAGAAGTATAAAGAAAGGAGATTTGTGTTTTGGCCTCAGAGCTCTCACCGTGAATAAAAATACAGATAAGACTTGTGAGTTGTGGACCTTGAATCATTGATGATTAAAACCAGAGCCTTACAACCTCTGGTAATGATTCAAGCTTAGGGTGAATTAGAGATAGAAATTCACATGACAAATATATATTTGTACCCCTTTTTTCTCCCCAATTTCGTGATATCCAATTGCGATCCAATTACGATCTTGTCTCATCACTGCAACTCCCCAACGGGCTCGGGAGAGGCGAAGGTCGAGTCATGCGTCCTCCGAAACATGAACCGCCAAACCACGCTTCTTAACACCCGCCCGCTTAACCTGGAAGCCAGCTGCACCAATGTGCCGGAGGAAACACTGTTCAACTGACGACCGAAGTCAGCCTGCAGGCGCCCGGCCCACCACAAGGAGTCATTAGAGCGCTATGAGCCAAGTAAAGCCCCCCCGGCCAAACCCTCCCCTAACCCCGACGACGCTGGGCCAATTTTGCGCCGCCCTATGGGACTCCCGGTCATGGCCGGTTGTGACACAGCCTGGGATCGAATCCGGGTCTGTAGTGACGCCTCAAGCACTGCGATGCAGTGCCTTAGACCGTTACGTCACTCGGGAGGCCTGATTAGATACTTTTATCATTAAGTAGGCTATTTTCTCTTGAACCATTTGGTCTATCTACTAGAAACTCATGGACAATATGGACACAGATATAAAAAATGGTCACACTTTATTTGGATAGTCCGGATTATCTGTAGATGGGGGAAAAAAGTATTTGATCCCCTGCTGATTTTGTACGTTTGCCCACTGACAAAGACATGATCAGTCTATAATTGTAATGGTAGGTTTATTTGAACAGTGAGAGACAGAATAACAACAAAAAAATCCAGAAAAACGCATGTCAAAAATTTTATAAATTGATTTCCATTTTAATGAGGGAAATAAGTATTTGACCCCTCTGCAAAACATGACTTAGTACTTGGTGGCAAAACCCTTGTTGGCAATCACAGAGGTCAGACGTTTCTTGTAGTTGGCCACCAGGTTTGCACACATCTCAGGAGGGATTTTGTCCCACTCCTCTTTGCAGATCTTCTCCAAGTCATTAAGGTTTCGAGGCTGACGTTTGGCAACTCGAACCTTCAGCTCCCTCCACAGATTTTCTATGGGATTAAGGTCTGGAGACTGGCTAGGCCACTCCAGGACCTTAATGTGCTTCTTCTTGAACCACTCCTTTGTTGCCTTGCCTTGGCCGTGTGTTTTGGGTCATTGTCATGCTGGAATACCCATCCACGACCCATTTTCAATGCCCTGGCTGAGGGAAGGAGGTTCTCACCCAAGATTTGACGGTACATGGCCCCGTCCATCGTCCCTTTGATGCGGTGAAGTTGTCCTGTCCCCTTAGCAGAAAAACACCCCCAAAGCATAATATTTCCACCTCCATGTTTGACGGTGGGGATGGTGTTCTTAGGGGCATAGGCAGCATTCCTCCATCTCCAAACACGGTGAGTTGAGTTGATGCCAAAGAGCTCGATTTTGGTCTCATCTGACCACAACACTTTCACCCAGTTCTCCTCTGAATCATTCAGATGTTCATTGGCAAACTTCAGATGGCCCTGTATATGTGCTTTCTTGAGCAGGGGCACCTTGCGGGCGCTGCAGGATTTCAGTCCTTCACAGCGTAGTGTGTTACCAATTGTATTCTTGGTGACTATGGTCCCAGCTGCCTTGAGATCATTGACAAGATCCTCCCTTGTAGTTCTGGGCTGATTCCTCACTGTTCTCATGATCATTGCAACTCCACGAGGTGAGATCTTGCATGGAGCCCCAGGCTGAGGGAGATTGACAGTTATTTTGTGTTTCTTCCATTTGCGAATAATCGCACCAACTGTTGTCACCTTCTCACCAAGCTGCTTGGCGATGGTCTTGTAGCCCATTACAGCCTTGTGTAGGTCTACAATCTTGCCCCTGACATCCTTGGAGAGCTCTTTGGTCTTGGCCATGGTATAGAGTTTGGAATCTGATTGATTGATTGCTTCTGTGGACAGGTGTCTTTTATACAGGTAACAAGCTGAGATTAGGAGCACTCCCTTTAAGAGTGTGCTCCTAATCTCAGCTCGATACCTCTATAAAAGACACCTGGGAGCCAGAAATCTTTCTGATTAAGAGGGGGTCAAATACTTCTTTCCCTCATTAAAATGCAAATCAATTTATAACATTATTGACATGCATTTTTCTGGATTTTTGTTGTTGTTATTCTGTCTCTTACTGTTCAAATAATCCTACCATTAAAATTATAGACTGATCATTTCTTTGTCAGTGGGCAAACGTACAGAATCAGCAGGGGATCAAATACTTTTTTCTCTCACTGTATATGGTCATACTATCAACAAGCTATCTGTTGTTAAGCAACTGCTTGCTAAGGTTATGGTTAGGGTTAGGTTTAGAATAAGGGTTAGGGTAAGAGCAAAGGTTAGGGTAGGGTAAGGGTTAAGTTTAGGGTTAGGATAAGGGTTAGTTGAAATGTGACTGATAGTCTGTAGAGCATCTACAGTGCCTTGCAAAAGTATTCATCCCCCTTGGCGTTTTTCCTATTTTGTTGCATTACAACCTGTAATTAAAATGTATTTTTATTTGGATTTCATGTAATGGACATACACAAAATAGTCCAAATTGGTGAAGTGAAATGAAAAAAATAACTTGTTTCAAAAAATTCTCAAATATAAATAACGGAAAAGTGGTGCGTGCATATGTATTCACCCCCGTTGCTATGAAGCCCCTAAATAAGATCTGCTGCAACCAATTACCTTCAGAAGTCACATAATTAGTTAAATAAAGTCCACCTGTGTGCAATCTAAGTGTCACATGATCTGTCACATGATCTCAGTATATATACACCTGTTCTGAAAGGCCCCAGAGTCTGCAACACCACTAAGCAAGGGGCACCACCAAACAAGTGGCACCATGAAGACCAAGGAGCTCTACAAACAGGTCAGGGACAAAGTTGTGGAGAAGTACAGATCAGGGTTGGGTTATAAAAAAATATCAGAAACTTTGAACATCCCACGGAGCACCATTAAATCCATTATTAAAAAATTGAAAGAATATGGCACCACAATAAACCTGCCAAGAGAGGGCCGCCCACCAAAACTCACAGACCAGGCAAGGAGGGCATTAATCAGAGAGGCAACAAAGAGACCAACGATAATCCTGAAGGAGCTGCAAAGCCACAGCGGAGATTTCGAGTATCTGTCCATAGGACCGCTTTAAGCTGTACACTACACAGAGCTGGGCTTTACGGAAGAGTGGCCAGAAAAAAAGCCATTGCTTAAAGAAAAAAATAAGCAAACACGTTTGGTGTTCGCCAAAAGGCATGTGGAAAGACTTCCCAAACATATGGAAGAAGGTACTCTGGTCAGATTAGACTCAAATTGAGCTTTTTGGCCATCAAGGAAATCGCTATGTCTGGCGCAAACCCAACACCTCTCATCACCCCGAGAACACCATCCCCACAGTGAAGCATGGTGGTGGCAGCATCATGCTGTGGGGATGTTTTACATCTAAAGCAACACTCGAGTGGTTTAAGGGGAAACATTTAAATGTATTGGAATGGCCTAGTGAAAGCCCAGACCTCAATCCAATTGAGAATCTGTGGTATGACATAAAGATTGCTGTACACCAGCGGAACCCATCCAACTTGAAGGAGCTGGAGCAGTTTTGCCTTTGAAAATTGGCAAAAATCCCAGTGGTTAGATGTGCCAAGCTTATAGAGACATTCCCCAAGAGACTTGCAGCTGTAATTGCTGCAAAAGGTGGCTCTACAAAGTATTGACTAGTTATGCACGCTCAAGTTTTGTGTTTTTTTGTCTTATTTCTTGTTTGTTTCACAATAAAAAATATTTTGCATCTTCAAAGTGGTAGGCGTGTTGTGTAAATCAAATGATACAAACCCCCCAAAAATCTATTTTAATTCCAGGTTGTAAGGCAACAAAATAGGAAAAATGCCAAGGGTGGTGAATAATTTCACAAGCCACTGTACAGATGGACTATCCAAATAAAGTTTTACCAAAATGTATACCATATATGAATACATTGTTTTAAGTTATTCAAGTACACAAAGTATGTGGACACCTCTTCAAATTAGTATATTCGGCTATTTGAGCCACACCTATTCCTGACAGGTGTATAAAAATCGAGCACACAGCCATGCAATCGCCATAGACAAACATTGGCAGTAGAATGTCCTTACTGAAGAGCTCAGTGACTTTCAACGTGGCACTGTCATAGGATGCCACCTTTCCAACAAGTCAGTTCTTCAAATGTATGCCTTGCTAAAACTGCCCCGGTCAACTGTAAGTGCTGATATTGTGAAGTGGAAACGTCTAGGAGCAACAACGGCTCAGCCATACGTGGTAGGCCACACAAGCTCACAGAACTTGACCGCCAAGTGCTGAAGTGCGTAGCGCGTATGCATAGTGCCAACTGTAAAGTTTGGTAGAGGAGGAATAATGGTCTGGAGCTTTTTTTCATGGTTCGGGCTAGGCCCCTTAGTTTGAGTGAAGGGAAACCTTAACGCTATAGCATACAATCACATTCTAGTTGATTCTGTGCTTCCAACTTTGTGGCAACAGTTTGGGGAAGGCCATTTCCTGTTTCAGCATGACAATGCCCCCGTGCCTAAAGCGAGGTCCATACAGAAATGGTTTGTCAAGATCGGTGTGGAAGAACTTGATTGGCCTGCACAGAGCCCTGACCTCAACCCCATCAAACACCTTTGGGATGAATTGGAATGTTAATTATCAAAATTACTGCAGATTCCAGTAACTTTGGTAAATTACTCGTAGCTTTGCAACTCTACTCTTGGATATTGGTTTATTGACAACATAAGGCATTTGTCGGTGTAGGGCTGCAGGCAGGGGAGGATGGACACACGGCTGTGTGTACTGACCCTGTGTGTATGGGGCTGGCCACAGGACTGACGTTGTCAGAGGTCTCTGTAGCTGGACTGCTTGGGATCAGGGAGTCATCGTCATACTCTTTCTGTAATGGCATTGGAGTGTGTACCTAAAAGACAGACAGGAGAATGGCTCATTGTAGCATTTGACATTTTTACTTTTCTACTCACTCTCCACAGGATTAGAGATACACACATTTTCAGTAATGATATAGCAACTATAATGACACCCCCTGGTTAGGACAGAACATAACCAGTCTGTTCTGTACCTGCTCCATTTCGTGCTCCTTCAGGATGACCGTCTCTGGGGATACACAAGGGATCCTGGGAATGGCAGGCGAGTAGTTGCTATTGGAGAGAAGAGTAGAACACAGAGTGAGTAAAGGGAATATTCTTATTCCACTCCACACATCCCAATACTGCTCTAATCCAACCATTCCCTGTTCTTTACCATTACATACCCCCTATCAGCCCCCTCTAAGCCCCCTCCATCTACCCCATCCCCTACCCCAGCCAACCCTACACAGTGCCCAGCCCTCTCTCGTACTCCATAGATTTCTTGGGTGACAGGAAATCATCATCATGGTCCTTCAAGTCATCCATCTTCATGTACCTGGCTCCTTCCGTCCCCAAAAGCTCCTCCCCTTCAGACAACAACAGCAGGGCCAGAGAGAGAGAGAGAGAACAGACAGTGGTCAGAGGAGTGACAGAGAGAGAGAGAGAACAGTGGTCAGAGGATTGACAGAGTGAGAGAGATCAACAAGAAATCTGCAGCATGTGAGTCAGAGTTAGAAAGCATAGAATGATTGAGTATAGCAAATATAACCTAGAATTTATATCAGGGATGGGCAACTGGCGTCCCGCGGCCCGCCCACCCTTCTTTAGGCCTGCAGATCAATTTCCAAAAACGAAAAAAATAAAAACTCAGTCGGGGTCTCAACTTACTGTTGAGAGTTAGAATAGTAAAATACACAAGGTGCAATTTGAAATTTGGTTGTCCATCAGCAGTTTTTCTCTTGTTATGTCAGTCACTGACAGTCACTCACTTAGCCTGTGTCAGCATTTTTTTTTTAGATTGGTAAGTTAGTATAGCTAGCTATCTAAACTTGTAATAATCATGGTCGAATTACCGACCGGGGGGCCCCCATTGATTTTGTTAGTCACTCTCACTCAGATCATATTAAAAACTGCAAACCTTTTTCTCCACCCTATGGCAAAATGAGTAGAATTGCATGAAATTTGTTATAAATTGCTAAATCTTCTCTCCGCCGCATGGCAAAATGTGTAAAATTGCAGCAAACTTGCTTTAAAACTGCAACAAATGTTCACTTAGGGCCCCAAAAGGATAGGGTGACTACAAGGCTCTGACTGTATGTGTGGGTATGGATGTGGGTACGCAGACCCGCGAGCCCCTCATGATGAGTTCAGATGTTTTGTGGCCCCCACCCCCATCAAAGTTGCCCATCCCTGGTTTATATAGTAGTTAGGTTGGTGAGTTGAAGGATTAACGACTACCCTCCACACAATGTGCACGTGTTAATGCTTGTCAATGGGAAGAGATTTAGTGAAGCCACGATCACAGATCACAGAGACTCAAAGGCAGATGGAGAGAAAGGACATGGAGAAAGATAGAAAACAGATGGTGGTTCTTGCACAATATTAATCTAAAATGTGATCTGTTGAAATACTTTTCATCCATAAACTATTTCCGGTAGTTGAATATTTGGAGCACAGCATACAGTATTGGATATTTACAGTAAAATATCAAAGACTTTCCTAACATCTGGACAGTTACAATATGGCCCAACACGAACTGAGTCTAAAACAGGACAACGTCACTACAGCCATGTCCATTGGGGTTTCCCTGTCCCCTGATAGTCCACATCAACATGGACCCAATCTGGCTGGATTAAATTGATTTAAACAGGGTTGAGAGGTTTTTTCTCTCCCTCTGGGAGTCCTGGCTGAGGGGCATTCTTGTAAAAAACAAAACACAAAGTACATAGAGTACATAGAGTACATAAAATACATAAAATACATATACTATGTACAGTATGTACTTCACAAGAGACTGGCATGGCGGATACAAAAAAGCACTCATGAATCAAAACCATCTATTTTCACTTAAGCTATTATGTTCTCTTATCTGTGTTTCTCTACCCATCTTAGTTTCTTCCAGGAAGATGAGTGGAGGCAGGTTATAGTTACTTACCCCCTCAAATCCTGAGCTAACTGGAGAGAAGTCAACAGCGCCAAACACAATTGTTCTGTTAATGCATGTGCTTGTGTCTGTGTATCAATCAGCACGAGAGGTGTTAGGGTTGGCTTTGGTGAGTGTTTGAGTGGGTGCCTGGACATGGTCCGGAGCCAAATCAATGGTGAGGGCATAATTACCAGTGAGTCTGTATGTGTGTTTCCACAGGTTTAAAATGAGTCAACTCACCTCCTCTTCTCGCCTTTAACGAGTGTTTGTGTCAGATGTTTTGAAAATCAGAAGTGTAAAGTATGTGTATGTGTGTGTGTGAGAGGAATATGCCTGTATGTTCCATCATTTGAGCAAATAAGTGATCTGTGTCTTTAAAACAGCAACTAAGCTACTTTCTAATTTTAGACCAACGGTGACAATCTGTCAGTTAAATTATCAGGGAGCTAAAAATATAAGGATGTGACTTCCTCTGACATCATTGTCAAGGTGTTGTAACATTTACACTTTGACCTTTACTGGTTGATAAGACACCCGTGGGATTTTGAAGACTTTTGTGCAAAACTGTTTTTGTCGCACCATTACTACGTTCTCATTGCCTCACAGTATATGGACAGCACTGCAAACACACACAGCACACACACGTCTTTACACACTACAGAAACAGACTATACAAATGACAGCGGATGTAGTGGATCACAATGGAGGAACATTGATAAATACATCATAACAACAACATCAACAAGACAACAACATCCAGACAACACCATCAACATCTTGGAATGTTGATACAGTACAGTAACATCTTGGAATGTTAATACAGTACAGTAACATCTTGGAATGTTGATACATCTTGGAATGTTGATACAGTACAGTAACATCTTGGAATGTTGATACAGTACAGTAACATCTTGGAATGTTGGTACAGTAACATCTTGGAATGTTGATACAGTACAGTAGCTTTGGCAAATGTTTTAACTAGATAATTCAATTTTCACCTTGATTAAAATCGTAGTGAATGGTTTGATACACTTAATGGGTGAGTGTCCAACCTCCACTACAGGGCTTTTCTCTTACAGTACAGTATGCTGTGCTGTTTCACCCAGTAGGCTGGTGAGGACAGCCACCCCCAGTCCCCAGCCCCCAGCCGCAGTGACATGGAGAAAGATAGAATACATCTGATCTGGGGAGTTAGTGACTGAGAGTCAGGTCTATGTTACTGGAGGGATAAAGAAAGGTTATAGACATGGAGCCATGAAATGCATGCACCACAGTGAGCATCAGGAGAGATAGAAAGTCGCAAAAGGACCAGGCGTAAAAGAAGAGAGGCGGAAAGAAAGAGAGGTGGAGAGAAAGAGAGGTGGAGAGAAAGAGAAGTGGAGAGAAAGAGAGGCGGAAAGAAAGATGTCACAAGCTTGAAATGGAGCCACACACTCTAAGACGACCTATGAGCACCGCACAGAGAAGAGAGAAGGAGACAGTCATACCTATTGTTAGCTGTGCAATTCCTAAAAAACAATCAAAAAGCAAAAGAGGCATATTTTAGGAGGCTGTGCACAGTTACAAATAATTTCTAATAAGTCTATTCAAAGTGTTCAGACATTTTTTTAAACAGAATGGACTGGCAACTAATTGTGCCATAAAATATAATGAGGTATTTGTATAGCTATAATCTCACTATTAATACAAATTAAAGTACAATACATCTTCTATCTGGCCAAAAGGAGGAGAAAGTGTGTTCAGTACTGAATCTGTCTCCTTGTGTTCTGTCTGTAACGTATTGTAAGTGTTGTGTACCTTCATCCTCTGATACGTCCAATATCTCATCCACTGTTTCTGGGAAACTCATACGATGTTTCTCTGTGGTGGTCTGAGGGAGAGAATGGGAGAAGAGAGAAAAGAGAGACAGGTTCAAGACAGAATAAAGAGCAGCATGGAAGGATTACAAACTATTCAAAAATGTATATAATGTCTGCATCGAGAGGAATATAAACATTATTAGTTGAAGATATTTGACAACACCAAAAAGTACTTCTACACAGACTCAGATGATCAACAGTGGTACTTATTTACTCCTCACCATGGAAACCGTCTCCTCTGTAACTAGTTTGAGAACGTCGATTACAGAGATGTACCCCAACCGCTTGGCGATAGACAGGGCTGACATACCGTTCTAACAGAGAGAGAGAGAGAGAGAGAGAGGAGATAGACTGAGAGAGAGTCATTGAACAGATGATGGCGTGTTGGAGGAGGATGATGGATGAGGTGGAGGACTGAAAGGGAGTGAAAGGCAGTGGTGCGTACAGTGGCAACCTCGTTCGGCTGGGCTCCATGTTTGAGCAGTAAGGTGACGATGTCTGTGTGGCCCTGTTGGGCTGCCTGGTGCAGGGCAGTGTAACCAACCTGGGGGACAGAGACACAATCATTAACATACTGACAAGACACAATGAAAATAATCACATCAAATAGCCAGTTCATATTACTGTGCTTCACTATTAACAATGCAGGATCATTTGGGGTAAGTGTAGTTCCATTGGTGTCCAGAGGGAGGTGCTCACCTTAGTCTTGCTGTTGACATTGGCCTGCTGCTGCAGGAGGAACTTCACCATCTTTACATTGCCATAGTGACAGGCAACATGGAGAGGGGTGTATCCCATCTGAAACAGAGACATGACGTGGGATAGAAACACAGAGTAGGACCCCATCAGTATCAAATACAATCAGCACACACTAATAACTGGATAGCTAACTAACACATGATTACAAATTCAACACATACAGCACCAGTCAAAAGTTTGGACACACCTACTCATTCAAGGGTTATTCTTTATTTTTACTATTTTCTACATAGTAGAATAATAGTGAAGACATCAAAACTATGAGTAGCCACCCTTTGCCTTGATGACAGCTTTGCACACTCTTGGCATTCTCTCAACCAGCTTCATGAGGAATTGCAGGAGTTCCCACATATGCTGAGCACTTATTGGCTGCTTTTCCTTCACTCTTCGGTCCAACTCATCCCAAACCATCTCAATTGGGTTGAGGTCCGGTGATTGTGGAGGCCAGGTCATCTGATGCAGCACTCCATCACTCAAATAGCCCTTACACAGCCTGGAGGTGTGTTGGGTCATTGTCCTGTTGAAAAACAACTGATAGTCCCACTAAGCGCAAACCAGATGGGATGGCGTATTGCTGCAGAATGCTGTGGTAGCCATGGTGGTTAAGTGTGGCTTGAATTCTAAATAGATAATTGACAGTGTCACCAGCAAAGCACCCCCAAATCATCACACCTCCTCCTCCATGCTTCATGGTGGGAACAACACATGTGGAGATCATCCGTTCACCTACTCTGCGTCTCACAAAGACACGGCAGTTGGAACCAAAAATCTCAAATTTTGACTCATCAGACCAAGGGACAGATTTCCACCAGTCTAATGTCCATTGCTCGTGTTTCTTGGCCCAAACAAGTCTCTTCTTCTTATTGGTGTCCTTTAGTAGTGGTTTCATTGCAGCAATTCGACCATGAAGACCTCTCCTCTGAACAGTTGATGTTGAGATGTGTCTGTTACTTGAACTCTGTGAAGCATTTATTTGGGCTGCAATCTGAGGTGCAGTTAACTCTAATGAAGTTATCCTCTGCAGCAGAGGTAACTTTGGGTCTTCCTTTCCTGTGGCGGTCCTCATGAGAGCCAGTTTCATCATAGCGCTTGATGGTTTTTGCGACTGCACTTGAAGAAACTTCAAAGTTCTTGAAATGTTCCGGATTGACTGACCTTCATGTCTTAAAGTAATGATGGACTGTTGTTTCTCTTTGCTTATTTGAGCTGTTCTTGCCATAATATGGACTTGGTCTTTTACCAAATAGGGCTATCTTCTGTATACCACCCCTACCTTGTCACAACACAACTGATTGGCTCAAACGCATTAAGAAGGAAAGAAATTCCACAAATTAACTTTTAAGAAGGCACACCTGTTCATTGAAATTCATTCCAGGTGACTACCTCATGAAGCTGGTTGAGAGAATGCCAAAAGTGTGCAAAGCTGTCATCAAGGCAAAGGGTGGCTACTTTGAAGAATCTCAACTATAAAATATATTTTGATTTGTTTAACACTTTTTTGGTTACTACATGATTCCATATGTGTTATTTCATAGTGTTGATGTCTTCACTATTAATCTACAATGTAGAAAATAGTAAAAAATAAAGAATAACCCTTGAATGAGTAGGTGTGTCCAAACTTTTGACTGGTACTGTACACACTACACAATATCTATAGTGTGTGTCCCCTTTACCCTATATGCTCTGCGGTTGATACACTGAGTTTTAGGGTAATGTTGTCTAGTGAACCATGGAGGCCCCTTCCCTGAGTGTGGTTAGGGGTTGTTTATTATTATTATTGATGTTGGTAACGTAACCCTAAGCCAGGAGAAGCAGTCAGTGGCAATTTATACCAAGGAGAGGAAAGGTCACGTCTCCGACACTCTATTTTCCATGGAGCCCCCATCATTCATCATGTAGCACTGTTACTGTTAGGCTCCATACCATACTGACCTTGCATTAACATTCATTGAATTTAAGATTAGCTTCAGATAACAAACTGTAACAGTGTGTATCTCATGATGAGGCAGGGGTGTGTACTTTATACCAACTCTCAACAACCTGGCACAAAGGAGTTTTCATGTATAGTATCCTATTATCTACTGCAATATCCTATATCATATTATCTACTGAGATGCTATAATAAGTCCTGATGTACAGTATATGTCGCTGGGAGCTATTGATCAGTGAGACTGTCCTAGAGGTCAACAGGTGTGTGGTCTTACCCGTGTGGCAGCATATACTGATGCCCCCTGCTTCCCCAGGATGTCAGCGATGCCCACGTGGCCTTCCTGTGCCACCAGGTGGAGAGGAGTCAGTCCACTCTGAGGGGAGAGGAGCCAGGGGCTAAGATAAGGCATCTTGTTATAGCAGAACTAACAGGGCTCACCCAAATAATCCTAACTTCTTCCCTGTATCAGTCCCTGAGGCCTCACCTTGTTCCCCAGGTTGACGTTGGCCTGTTTGGAGATGAGCAGGGTGACCATGTCTGGCCGGCCCTCCTGAGCAGCCAGGTGGAGGGGTGTGACCCCCTGGATGGACTCAGCGTTGGCCGAGGCTCCGTACTGCAGAAGGCTGCTAGCAACCTCCACCTGGTTCTGCTTCGATGCTATGTGGAGAGGGGTGTAGCCATTCTAAAACAGAGAACCAAAGGGGTATTAGTGTATCGTACAATTATATTTGTGTGTGTGTTTGTCTGGTCTCTCACCCTAGCTGCACTGTGTGGGGAGCCTCCCTTGCTGACCAGCAGGTTAACCACGTCCAGGTTGTCATGATGGACAGCCACATGGAGAGAAGTCAGGCCATTCTAAAGGTAAAGGAGACACACACATATAATCCACCATAACTTTACTCTAGCATCCTTCAATCTCAAAATACCTTGACCCTTCCCTCCACATACCCCTCATCTTCCCTCATCCCTGTTTCTACAACCCTTACCTTGCCAGCAGCATTAGGGTTGCCCCCTCTCTCCAGCAGCAGCTCTGCCACGTCCACTTTGCCATATTTAGAAGCCACATGGAGAGGAGTGAAGCCTTTCTGCAGAGACATCCCAGATAGAGATAGAGAGACATCAGGGAGAGCACACAGGCCACAGTCCCACATAGAGAAACATCCAGAGAGATTAGAGTGTGTAGGCGTCGGAATAAATACTTTACCTTGGTCATCTTAGTCTGCTGGGCCTCCATGTCCAGTAAGATGCGTGTGGTCTGAGCGTGTCCCTCGCGGGCAGCGATGTGGAGGGGTGTGTGTCCGGACGTGGTGGTGGAGTTGGGGTTGGCCTTGTGCTCCAGCAGCAGCTTGACCAGCTCCTTGTGGCCCATCCGACACGCACAGTGGAGCGGTGTCTGGTCATCCTGGACATGGTGTGGCGGAGGACAGGAGAGAGGGAGGAGAGGTACATAAACACGGTGTTGGGAGTCATGTGGGGAACTAGCAAGAGAATTGAATGTTGTTCCGATTGTGTTTGTGTGTGTGTGTGTGTGTGTGTGTGTGTGTGTGTGTGTGTGTGTGTGTGTAAAGGTGTGTGAAGTCATTACCTTGGCCTTGGCGTCTACTGGTGCTGCATTGGTCAGTAAGAACTCTGCCACCTCATAGTGTCCTGCTCTACATGCCATGTGGAGAGGAGTCTCCACTTTCTGCTCACACACAACCAGACAAACACAATGTGTAAATAGTGTAAATACATAACACAAATGCATTGTGAAAAGGGACTAGAGGAGCTGGTTCAGTCAGTGATGAGGTGGCTGGATGGGGAGGGGACTCACCACATTGGAGGCACTGGGGGAAGCTCCCTTCTGTACCAGGATGGTGACTATTTTGCGGTGGCCCATGAACGAGGCCACGTGTAAAGGGGTCAGGCCAGACTGGGGAGAGAAAAAACAGACAATGAAACAATCATCCCTCTCTCCTTGGCAGAATCCCTCTTTTATCTTTCCCTAGCATACATTCCATCTCTTTCTCTCGCAACAATCTCTCTCACCTCTGTCACAGCCTCTAGGGAAGCAGAGTGTTTCAGCAACAGGTCCATCACACGCATGTGGTTCTTCTTACAGGCGATGTGAAGCGGAGTGAAGCCATTCTGAGGACACAACAGCAGGGTCACTAAGGCACATCACCTCAACACAGCTGCACACTGACAGAACAAGGTGTGTGTGTGTGTATGTGTGTAATGAATGTATAGTACTGTATATAGGTAGGTATGCATGATTGTAGTACTGACCAGTGCACGGGAGTTGGGTTTGGCTCCCTTGTCCAGCAGCACTTTGGCCATGCGGTGGTGCCCACAGTGGGCCGCCACATGCAGGGGGGTCAGGTGGTCCAGCGTGATGTCATCAATTGCAGCATTGTATTGCATAAGTTGCCTCACACAGTCCATGTGGTCCCCCTGTGCTGACATGTGGATGGGAGAAAGGCCGTTCTGTAGGAGGGGGGGGGGGGGGGGGGGGGGGGGGGGGGGGGGGGGGGGGGATCCATTACTTATTGTGTTGTATGCATACAGTATTTGAGCACAACTGTCCAGGGATCAGGCCTTGGTGGATTAGCGTTAGGTGTACCTTGGTCTTGGCCTGGATGGGAGCCCCTTGGTCCAACAGGATCTCAATGATCCTCACGTGTCCGTTCCTGGCTGCACAGTGCAGTGGAGTCAACTCATCCTGGGGCGAGAGAGAGAGAGGACAGTAAACCACTGGTCTAGGACAATATAGTATCATTTGTGTAACAGGACAGGGCTTGACCAGAAGGGGTCGACACTAGAGACTAGAGAGAGACAAAGGGGATGCAGTACAGTACCTTGGTCTTGGCATCAATCTGTGCCCCTCGGTCCAGCAGGAGTCGTACCATGATCACATTCCCCCGCCTGGATGCGATGTGCAAAGGTGTGATGCCGTTCTAGAGAGAATTCCAGAGGGGATAAGCAGTAAAACCAGAAACAGACCAGTGAGGGACTGGTAACAATACTATGTGTCAGTGATGCTAGAGCAGAGGGGAACAGACATACCTTAGGGGTGAAGTTGACATTGGCTCCTCTGTTAAGCAACAGTTGGGCTACGTTCAGGTTCTCGTAGTGTGCAGCGATATGGAGCGGTGTGAAGCCTGTCTGTAGGGACACACAGGAGACCAGAGCTCTTATGCTGACGGCCTTGATGTGTTCTAATTTTACAAGTATCATCTCCTCCACTCGCTGTGGGACACACTAAACTAAGTGAAGACAAACACATAGTGAGTACCTACCTTGCTCAGGACATCTGCGTTGGGGTCGTTCTGTAAAAGTACAGCAGCAGTGCGCGTGTCATCGTTCCGCGCCGCTATGTGCAGCGCGGGGAGGCGAACTTTGCCCTTGGTGCCGTAATTGATGAGCAGGGCCACAATGTTCTCATGTCCCTGCTGAAGAGCCACGGCGAGAGGGGTAAAGCCATCCTGACAGAGGAGAGAGGAGAGGAGACAGGGGTGAAGAAAGGTTTAGTGACCCAGAGAGACAGATGGGGAAGGGAAGGACAGTGAGAGTCAAAAGGATTGATAAGCGATACAGGGAATAGTGCAGGAGGTGTGGTGTAAAGTTCGAAATGGAATCATTTCCTGCTTATACCTTCCTGATTCTGGGAATTTTCCAACCTGGATTCCTGAAAAACCTGGGAATTGTTTCTCCCCAATTGGTAGTTACAGTCTTGTCCCATTGCTGCAACTCCCCTACGGACTCGGGAGGAGCGAAGGTCGAGAGCCATGCGTCCTCGAAAACACGACCCTGACAAGCTGCACTGCTTCTTGCCACACTGCTCCCTTAACCCGGAAGCCAGCCGCACCAATGTGTTGGAAGAAACACTGTACAACTGGTGATCGAAGTCAGCTTGCAGGCGCCCGGCCCACCACAAGGAGTCGCTAGAGCGGGATGGAACAAGGAAATCCTGGCCGGCCAAACCGTCCCCTAACCCTGACGACGCTGGGCCAATTGTGCGTCGCCTCATAGGTCTCCAGGTCATGGCCGGCTGTGACACAGCCTGGGATCGAACCCTGGGCTGGAGTGATGCCTCAAGCACTGCGATGCAGTGCCTTAGACCCCTGCGCCACTCGGTAGGCCCTAAATTTTGCAACCCTATACTCTGCTGATTGGCTGTTACCTCAGTAGGAATGCTTTGATTGGCCCCGTTCTCCAAAAGGAACTTCACAACTTCTAGATGATTCTCTTGTGCGGCCATGTAGAGCGGAGTGAAGCCCTTCTGTTACAGACAGACACACACATGGACACATACACACAGGGAGGAGCACAACACAGCAGCAACACACACACGCACACACACACACACACACATACACACACAAAGGAAGCACAAGCACACACATAAACACAGAGGAAGCACAAGCACACAGAAAGACAAGAAGGCAGACAGATATTAACAGTGTTGCATTGAGCTAATACACTCTTAGAAAAAAAGGGTTCCAAAAGAGTTCTTCGGCTGTCCCTATAGGAGAACCCTTTTTGGTTCCAGGTAGAAGGGTTCTACGTGGAATCAAAAAGGATTCTGCAAAGGGTTTTCCTATAGGGAACACTTTTAGGTTATAGATAGCACCTTTTTTCTAAGAGTGTATGATGGCCTAACATCATGTTTCAATCGGGGGTTGGGCCAAATGCAGGAGCTTATGCACACCCAAAAATGTTAGTAGAGGTGCTGACTAACGGAATAGTTAACTGAAACTGTGTAAAAATAAAGAAAGTTGCACACTATAAATGCTACCAACAAATTAATGAGCATATATAGAGTGTGCGACTTTCTTTCTTTATTTTTACTCAAAGGGTTGGGGTCAATTCTGAATTGTATTGCAAATTGCTCTCTTTAATTAGGGATCCTAGCGCCGAAGGTGCAGGAATCCTATTGCTTTTGTTAGTGTTCTTCTTTGTGCATTTTTCCTTTTGGTCAATATCTCAACAACACATTGGTAAAACATTGTAGAATTTGGCAGGATGGTAGAACCCATCATGCGTACCTATGATGCACTCATTGGCCCCTAGGTAGCACTACAGTTAATTAAAAACCATGCACACATTCAAAACACATTCAAAACATTTGCCCAAACTATCAAATCCAACTCGTACAAATGATTGACAACATGTCCCTGAAGATATGTACCAAGTTTAGTGTTGATATCTTAAAATAACATGAAAACCACAGGTCATTTAACTTTGACCAAAAGGTGCTAGCATAATGCTAATGCTAAAATTAGTTTAAATTTCTTCTTCACATGAACCACAACTCAGATTCACTGAATATTTGGTATGTAGAATCTCTGAACTAGTCCCTAGCTAAATTGCTAAGGAAAATTCACTGTGGTCAAAGATGGCCTTTTCTGAGGCGCAACTGTGCACTGAAGGCTATAACTATTGAACCGTAGGAATTTGGTAAACATGAAGTTGGAAGGGACAGCAGTCTATTTCAGTAGCATGGTAGCATGTATTAGACATACCTCATCACGTATTAGAGGTAAAATCGTGCAATTTGGAAAACATGCAATTGGTAAACATGCTTAAAGGTATGGCCTTTGCCCTTTTCATTGCCAGAGTGCCCAACGGGTGACCAAGAGGTGCTATTCCTATTACTCAGATCCTGTTAATGCTGCTCTCAATGCTGCTCACAGCAATACTTGAATTTTGATTGAATTGGGCACATCCCACAGGAAGCAGAAATTGCATTGAATTTGAAATAAATAAATTCAATGAATTTCAAATAGCTACAATTCACTATACAAATATTTATTTTGACATCATGTATGGTACAGTACTATACTATTTATAACATATTGAAACATTTCATTTTTAAGTTTAAGTTTTAAATAATTACAGTGGTCTGGAAATATTCTAAGATCATTTTGTAGGTTGTCTGTAATAATTCATAATTTACTTACATATATACATTTACCATCAGATCAAACACTCCAGAATGGAAGGGAACTACCTAACATTTCATGACAAAAATACAAATCAAAATGCTGATGAAATATGTCAGTTATAATCAAGCTTATGTTTGAAATGGTATCTATATTATTTTTGTAATAACTGGCAGATGTGGCAAAGGAATGAGACTTTCATGTTTCATGTCTCAGTTGAATTTCTTTGAATTAAATTATACTTCCTTTAATTCAAATTCAAATTTCAATTCATGGGTTGAATTGAAATACATTCAGAAATTCAGACCCCAAACCCTGAGTTCCATGCAGTATAATGCAGAATAACTGTATTATAACTGTATCTAACTGTATGTGTATCCGTTGTGGCTGGTGGCTCTTCTGCAGGGGGGTCTGCCAGTGGGGTCGGGGTCTCTTCCGACACTGGTGGGGGTCTCACCTGGGACTGGGCATTGATGTTGGCCCCGTAATTTACCAGCTCTGCTACAACGTGCTCCTGCCCAGCCAGGGCAGCAATGTGCAGAGCTGTGTTGCCTTTCTGTGGAGGCACAAGGCAAGAGAAGACATGAGACATAGAGTAGTGTCTGTGTGAAAGCATCTAAAGTACTGTAGTACTTGTGAGAAGTAGTAAGCTTTAACACCGTAAAACTTCCATTAATAGCCCGGGCGTTTATTTGCTTAAATCACTGAACACAACAGGTGCTTGTTAGAGACATGCTTCTATTTGAGCATCTATTATTTCCTTAATGCACACAGCTTTTGCTCATTTGCGTAGTTAATTGTTTTAATTGCAGCATTCACTTCCAGCAATTTAATCAATTTCTTAATTTCCTGCAGTAATGTGTTACCATTTACACACTGTGTCACGTTTCTGTTGTCTTAGTATGCCTCTATTTTGGAAAAAATAACTTCCTTGACAGAATAATTATTCTCCTCTTTAACTGTGCATCTTCGCCAGTTCTTACTTTCGCCTGTGGGCGATTGGCCGATTTCTGGGGGTCTGTACTCCCGAAGTTGTTGACTGTTTTTGTGCTTGCCAGTTAGCTAGCAGTTCTCAGCTGTTAGCAGTCACTGGTTAGCAGTTTCTTACTGGCGATATAAACGGATGATTGCCATAATTTATTCAAGTCATTACTGAATTGTTTAATATAACAAATCAAAAATTAAATCTTCTAAACAATTCATGGTAATTCATGGTAACCTCGTAAACAATTCATTTAGACCAGGCATTTATTTGAAACAGGTGTTTATTTGATGAAAAGTATGCCGTTGCCCGGCTAAGGGACAAGAAGCTATTTGAGACTCAGTGTTTAATTGAAGTTTTACGGTAAGTAGAATCATTTGAGTATGCAGTATATTGTACTTTGGTGGTGGCATAGGCTTCGTGGAGTACATGAGTGGTAATGTGGTATAGTGCAGGAGGTTGTGTGAGTACCTTAGTCTGGGTTTCCACATCGATGCCTCCATGTAGTAGCTCCAGCACCATTTTAACGTGGCCTTCTTTAGAGGCCAGATGCAACCCGTTGAGCCCATTCTGAGGGAGGAGAGAGAGAAGAGGAGACCTCATACTGTAGGGTCCCTAACACACACTGCACACATAGAACTAAAAAATACAGACCTTTGGGCCTCCATCAGACACTCCGCTCTCACACACCACAATCACACCAACAAAGTCAGAACCCACACACTGAACGCAATCTCACACAGCACACTGACACACACCAAAGGATCAGATCCCCAGACCCTATTATACAGCACTTCCTAGATGTATAAAATGCAAAAGTATGTAACTGAGTCCAACTGTACTGTATGGTTTGGACAAACAGCCTCTACACACACAGTATCTACTAGAAATTAACAGTGCTCAGTTAGCGATAACGGTGACCGAATTATGATGATGAAGATGATGATGGTAAGGAGGAGGAGGAGGAGGAGGAAGAGGATGGGAGGGGGATGGCAGGCCGGTGGTCTCGGAGCTGGGAAGAATACGAGCTGTGTGAGATAGGTCTGACCTCACACAGCCTTCCTTCAGTGACACAGGACATGTGAGGTTGGACCTTTCCCACACCACTGATATTATTCCTCTGAGTGGAGAGACCACAGCACACCATCACTCTACTGCAGACCGGAGTGGGAGGGAGGGAGGGAGGGAGGGAGGAGAAGGGGGGAGGCGTAGAAGCAGAGATGGGAAAGGGAGCATGAGGGATAAAGAGAATGACAAGGGAGGGGAAAAAATAAAAACTGGTAGAAGGAGTCAGGGATGATGCAAAAAAGAAGTAGAGGGACTAAGAGAGAAATAACTTGAGGGGTTATAAGGGTGTGAGGAGAGGAGGGTTGAGGAGGAAGTGGGAGGGAGGTCGATAGGGAGGGGAGGGAGAGAGGCAGTGCATCTGGGTGGCCGGTGAGCTAGCCCATGACGGAGGTATCTACTCAGACTGGGTACGAGAGACACGACTGCCACAGCCAAGCCTCCACCGAACCTCCATCAGGCTGACACCTCACTCTGCACACAACAAATACAACAACAACAACACACTGGGAGACACTCACACACAACACATAACCAATATCACATCCAATTTCGCAACCTCACTCAACACACTTGAGACAATTCCAAAACACTAGTACAGACTTGGTATGAAATGACACACATTGCATTATACATGATTTGAAGGAGAATGGCATGAGTCTGGCTGTCAATGGTACACTGAGATTGCAGATAGAATGTACAGATTATGGCTGTAGGGTTCCTGTTTGTCCACAGGGTGTCTCTCTTCAGCAGCCTGAGGTCTCTTTACGCCAACTTGTATGTATGTTTTGAATCCTATGTTCGTTATGAGCTTTTAACCTGGGAATGTGCTTGATGCTAATCTTGATTGTAGCATTAGTGCTGGCAGCATTATAGTACAGAAGTAGAGTGTTTAGCAAACCAAGGCTAAGCTGGTCTAATGAGCTGGAGAATCACACACACACACACTGCTGCCCTGTTTGTATGGCCTGTAGGCAACCTCATTCCCCTCGCGGCGTGGTCGTCTCTGGCCACCAAGGGAGCAGCCGTCAGGGTAAAGCAGGCAGTGTGGAGGAGAGGGGCCTGAGGAGTAACCCCTGCCCTCTTTAACACCTTCCCCTGAGCCCCCCTCTGTCCTACCTGTCACCTACTGCTGAGAGACTGGCTACTTGGGCCTCAAAACACACACACACACACACACACACACACACACACACACACACACACACACACACACACACACACACACACACACACACAGTACAGACATATCAAGCAAACACACACACATTTTGCACACATTTAAATCTTACACACAAAAATAACTTCATCCAACACAAACAATGATATACAGTACACACAGTCAGGGACAATCCACACAGCAGGTATTGGAGCAGAACAGAACACACTGTACACTGAGTTAGATCCAGAGCCAAGACAGATATTCTGCTGGCTGATGTCACATCAAACACATTCCAAGCCAAGAGAGAGCCAATGGGTGAGTCCAAAATGGTACCCTATTCTCTATGTAGTGCTATAGGCCCTGGTCAAAAGTAGTGCATTATGTAGGGAATTATTACATTTACCAGACACTCTTATCCAGAGTGACTTACAGGAGCAATTAGAGTTAAGCGCCTTGCTCAACGGCACATCGGCAGTGAATACCATTGATGTTCAATATGAGGGTTTCAGCATGAAATATCCTTTATATATTGTTTTGACACTTTTATTTATTTTACTATGTCAATATGTATTTGTTGTCAATGTCTTGGCGTCAAACTAGTGGCAGTTGTGAAAAAAGTAAATAGTTGGATGAGCAGAGGAAAGTGCGGGGGCTGGGGGGGGGGGGGGGGGGGGGGGGGGGGGGGGGGGGGGGGGGGGGGGGGGGGGGGGGGGGTTGGTTAGTTACCACAGTGATTATATCCATCTCACAGTAACACTCAGCATTTTATCAACTTAAGAGTTTCTTAGATTGCTTCTGTAACATGTGTTTGTGGGATGCCCTACACTGACTAGATTTAGTGTTGCGCTGCATTGGAAGATAAAAGCCATTAGTGTTAGCCAATGACTCTAAACTATTCTTTCCTCTCTCTCTTGCCATTTCCCACTCTTCCATGTTTCCTCTTTCCCTCTATCCATTCCTGTTCTCCCTTCATAACACTGCATCTGAACTTTGCTGATAAGACTCTTCCTGTGTGTGTATGTGTGTGTGTGTGTGTGCGCTGTCGTTTTGACATGGTCTGAAAGATGACTCATATTTATTTGATCTAATGTGCCTATACAGTAGTTAACTTGTTTTCATACTTTTATTCATGCATTATTCTAGTGCTGCAGTATGATGACGCAACACTGTGAAATACTAGTTCCACAGCCAATGGACAAATTAAATGAAAGAGTGTGTAATAAATCAGTTCCATTAGCTGATTGAGACTTTTACAAAGAGGAAGGCTTTGATTGATCCTGGTAAATCCAAAATGAATCTCAGAGTTTGGGGACATGTATTGATGCACTCTCCACAAGCATTTTGATTGGCTACTGGGCCTTGCAGCTCTCTCACCTGATTGGCTGTGTTGATGGTCTATGCCGTTCTTTTGATGGTCGGCGACGGCCTTGTCCATGTTACCAGAACGAGCTGCCCGCAGAAAACTTGTGACAGCATCAGCCTGAGGGAGAGAAAGGGGAGAGATAGAGGGGGGTGAAGAGAGGCACACAGAGTGGGAGAAGGAGAGATAGGTGTAAGGGAAGACAGAGGGAGATGGAGAGATGGGTGTAAGGGAAGACAGAGGGAGATGGAGAGATGGGTGTAAGGGAAGGACAGAGGGGAGATGGAGAAGGAAGAGATTGGGGGTGTAAGGGAAGACAGAGGGAGATGGAGAGAAGGGTGTAAGGGAAGACAGAGGGAGATGGAGAGATAGGTGTAAGGGAAGACAGAGGGAGATGGAGAGATAGGTGTAAGGGAAGACAGAGGGAGATGGAGAGATATTTATATTATTGTCAGAAACATCCATTCAAATCAAAACCATACAAAGTCAAAAGACACACGGACAATACAAGACTATACATGCTGTCCATTGGTGTTTCCCTCATCTCCCTCCTCACTGTTATTGAACAGGATAGGACAGTTGGCCCAGCCCCCTCCCACTGGCCAATCAGAAGCAGGCCTGGCAGGGTGGGGACCCTAAAGGAGGGGGTGCAGTTGATTGGCTCCATCCCAGTCCCCTCTGACTCCCTGAAACAGCTGCGTCCCAAATGGCACCCTACAGTATTCCCTACATAGGGCTCTGTCCAAAAGTAGGGAACAGGGTGCCATTTGGGATGCAAACCTTAGCCTCATTCTGAGCCTCTCACGTCTGAGACATGCTTTACCTCTGCACATACAGTAGGTGATAAGACCAAGGGATACTCTGGTGGCTTCTGGTGTGTGTCTACTCTGCCCAGTGGTCTGGCTGGCAGTCCGGCTGGTGTTCTGGGGTGGTGTGTGTGTGTCTGCTCTGCCCAGTGGTCTGGCTGGCAGTCCGGCTGGTGTTCTGGGGTGGTGTGGTGTGTGTCTGCTCTGCCCAGTGGTCTGGCTGGCAGTCTGGCTGGTGTTCTGGGGTGGTGTGGTGTGTGTTTAATGAATGCCCTGGCTCATGGTCTAGCAGATGGTGTGGCCCTGTTTTTGTCTCTGTTTTGTTTGTGTCTGGGGGCTTCATGCCTCTCTCAGGCAGGGGTGCTGAAACAGGATCATTCATGCGGCATGAGAGAGGGACTTGGGGAGATGGGAAGAGAGAGAGGGGGAAGGGACATGGGAGAAGAGAGGGAAAGAGGGAGAGGAAAAGAGAGGGACATGGGAAAGGGAAAGAGAGAGAAGAAATGGGAAAGGGGAAGAGAGAGGGAAGAGACATGGGAAAGGGAAGAAAAGAGGGAGAGAGACATGGGGAAGGGGAGAGAGGAGAGAGAGAGGGAGAGAGAGAGACATGGGAAAAGGGGTATGGCAAGAGAAGAGAGAGGGAGATAGACATGGGGGAAAGGGGAGGAAAGAGGAGGGGGAAGAGAGAGAGAGAGGAGAGGACGGAGAGAGAGAGAGAGAGGAGAGAGAGAGAGGAGGAGGAGAGAGACGAGAGAGAGAGAGAGAGAGAGAGAGAGATGGAGAGGCGAGAGAGAAGAGAGAGAGGAGAGAGACGAGGAGGGGAGAGAGAGAGGGAGAGAGAGAGAGACATGGGGAGAGGGGGAGAGAGAGAGAGACATGGGGAAAGGGGAAGAGAGAGAGAGGGAGACATGGGAAAGGGGAAGAGATGAGAGAGAGACATGGGGAAAGGGCCGGGTAAAGAGAGAGAGAGAGGCATGGGGAAAGGGTGAGGAAGAGAGAGACGAGAAAGGGGAATAGGGGAAGAGAGAGAGGAGTACATGGGGAAAGGGGACAAGAGAGAAGAGAGATGAGGATGAGAGATGAGAGAAGAGAGAGAGAGAGAGATGAGCTGAGGAGAGCATTCAGAGAGTGAGAGAGAGATGGGAGAGAAGAAATGGGAAAGGGGAGAGAGAGAGAGAGACATGGGGAAAGGGGAAGAGAGAGAGAGACATTGGGGAAGGGAAGAGAGGGAGTACATGGGGAAGAGCGAGAGAGAGAGAGAGATGGGGAAAGGGGGAAGAGAGAGAGAATGGGACAGGGGCGGGAAATTGGGGAAAGGGAAGAGAGAGAGCGGCAGAGAGAAAGGGGGGAGAGAGAGAGGGAGATGGGGAGAGAGAAAGGGGGGAGAGAGAGAGGGACATGTGGAGAGGTGAAGAGAGATAGAGAGAGAGGGAGGGAGGGAAGGAGAGAGATAGGGAGAGAGGGAGGGAGAGAGGGAGATGGGGAGAGAGAGAGAGATAAGGGGGGAAAAGAGTGGGATGAGGGAGAGAGAGTCTACTGCGGCAAACCCTCCTTCCCCCACCATTAGTCTCTCTCATTCTATCTATCTACAGAATCTATCAATATCATTTATTCCCACACTCCTCAGGACTCATTTTCTCAATGTCCAGGTCGTTACATGTGGTATCACTCCGTCAGTCTAGCTGTCCATCTCTCATTCTCCTTCACTCATCCTTATTTTTCTCTCTGGTTTCTGACCAAAGCATGGCCAGGGATTCATCAACGTGAACAAGATCCTGAGCAACCGTCAATACACTTTTTGTGATATCCCAAGTCCCAGCCACCTACAGAATTACAAACATACACAATAACAAGCACACTGCACACGTGTACACATAGGTTAGGCTTAGAAATGAAAAGATGTACTCACCCAAGCAAGTGTGACCACACACACAGTGACTCAAAAAATTTGTTCAACACAATTTGCACAACACACACTGCCACAGTGACATTGGCCCCCATTCAGTAGTGACTTGAACTGACCCTCCTTTGAGACAGTGGTAACAGAGAATGAGGACCCACATGCCCAAGCCGTGGGCATGGCAACTAATGATACAAACCATCACCCCTCAACGGAGCACTAGTGCAAGTGGTGCAGCTCTGTGCAAAGAAAAGACTGCCTAAAAAGTGTGAGAGGGAGGGAAAGAAAGAGGATGACTGAGAAATAGAAGAGGAAATAGAAAGAGAGCTGTATTCAGCAGAAAATCTTTCAGAGCATTTCCCTGTGACAGACCAGTAGGCCTTTGAGTCTGATAACTAACTACACACAGCCTGAGCACAGACAACCACTTCTCTCTCAGCCGCTAGACTAGAGATTCATCAAGGGAAAAAGTCACATTGTTTCCAACTTTCTACTTAAGAGTTCATGTAATCTTGTTTAACATCGCTCCCTCCCAGTTAAAGGAAAAGCCACAGTGCTTTCTGGGAAGTGTAGTTAGTCTAAGAGAACTAAGTGACTCTCACTTATAGGCCTACCTGTTCCTAAAAAGTATTCCCTCCTTCCGTTCCATCACTTTTCCTTCTCTGTCCTCCTCACTCCTTAACCATCTCCATCTGTCTGTCAACACCCTCACACTGTCACTCTGGAAACTCTATATGAGACCTTTACTTTCTCGTGTACAAGACCTTGAACTACGCACACTTACACAGACATGCACATATACATATTCAAAACGTATAAAGACTTACGTATACACTGTTCTTTTATACACACTAAAGACAGTTTTGATCAACTTCTGTCCCATGTGGAAAGTTAAGGCTGAGACAGTCATCTTGGAGTGAACACCAAACAGCACTTAGCACTTGTTAGCATTTAAAGCCGATGTATGGTTAATCCAGTGTCTGTATTGGCCATACAGCATTTACGGTGATGCGGCCTTTGCAGAAGTTAGGGCATTCATACTTCTTGCGCTTCGCAAAGCAGAACAGAGCTGTTGTGAAGGAATTTGTCAAGGGAAGTGAAGTTTGTGTTTATACAGGACGTACCTTCCCCACCTACCGTCAACCAATCATGTAAATGCGGAGCTATACGGAGCTATACGGAGCTATACGGAGCTATACAGAGCACTCCGCATTGTTACAAAATTTGGGAGGCACACAGAGATGTGGTATGGAGCTTGATTTGGCATCTGCAAGCCTCCGGATGCTCCGCAATTGCGTCACACCCTCCGTACGGAGCCTCCGGACCACATAAATCGTCTTTTAGCAAGCTAGTTATCTATGGAAGATAAACAGCAACACTATAATGTTGTATAAGCAGCCAGTGTTGTGTGCCTCCCTTTCAGTTCCCCAGTCAGTTACTCACAGTGACAGAGTTGTCCTGGTCAGCCATGGCCTCTTTCCTCTCATAGCCTACTCTGTCTCTCCCACTGTGAGAAAGGCGATAGCCCCCAAATCCCCTCCCTCCAGCCTTCTTCAGGACAACAAACTGACCCCCCCTAATACACCCCAATCACTCTCCCTGTCGTACCCACAAACACACAAACCCACCTGTTACCAGGGTTAAGATTACCGTAGCTGGGTACCCTCCTCACATAAATAGATACTCATATAGTGTGTGTGTGTGTGTGTGTGTTTGTGAGTGCGTGTGCACAGACATGTAGAAACCTACTTAGCCTCAAATAGATGCTGCCCACACACGATGCACAGGGTGCTAGTCATTCCAACAAACACTATGCATAGCTGGTCAGAGTGTAATTTGTTTGATGGTGAGTGTTTGTGTGTGCACTGCCATGGTGACTTTTCTTTTCACCACAGTTTGAGCAAACACAGCTAACAACATAACACACACACACACCTACACACACCTACACACCCCTACACACACACACACACACACACCACACACACACACACACACACACACACACACACACACACACACACACACACACACACACACACACACACACACACACACACACACACACACACACACACACACACACTACCTTCTGGAATGCACTCCTACAAGGTGGACATCTGCCAACTTTGCCTAGGTCAGGCAAAGTTCAGATGTCAGAGGGTCATTTCAGCACAGGGAAAGTGCAGAAGTCTGACATGACATATCACTACAGTAACAGTAGCCCTCCATGTCAAGGTAAATAACTTGGTTGAATGTAAATTACACAAGTTATGCACATTTGTAGTGTTCAGTACAGTGTGTTTATGTTGGTGTGTGTCTGTCCTCAATACAGTACATGAGTGTGATAGTATGGACTGTGGTGTGTGTTAGGGAGAGGTAAGTGTCTGGTGCAGTCAGATAAGGGTGGAAGGGGTACTCTGTAGGCCACACCCAAACCCTGCCTGCCAGGCTTCCACAGAGTAACACCACTCTCAGTGTAAACAAACTTTCACTCGCTCACTAGCCTGTCTGACACAAATCCACACACACAGACACGGACGAACAAACGCAGACGCACGCAATCCTCTATTGCCTTGTAAATCCTCATGCTAATCTTAACTAAGCCATTCTGATGGAGATCGATGTGGGTCTAGCTCAATGATTTATATATACACTAGATGACTGATAGGGTGCTGTGTTAAAGCCACTGCGCCTCCATCTTGGCACTCCCCCATCATTGTAAAAAAGCACAGGAGGTTGCAGAATAGTTGGAATGTATTTGATACCATTCCACCTATCCGCTCCAGCCATTACCACAAGCCTGTCTTCCCAAATTAAGGTGCCACCAATCTCCTGTGTTTGGAAGCTATATTTATTAATGTCTACATTAGTTTTTGCCACATTCATTATATTACAGACACCTTAATGCATACTTTAAAATTATATT